CCTTTTCCTCGACATGGCCGAAGCTAGGAGGTTTATTCTCTAGAGAGTGTAAGAGAGGTCTGGAACTAGGGGATGCCAGCACGGATCCAGAGAATGGGCGCCACACTGAAAACAAAAGGATGAAGTGACCACATGCTGTCATGCTGAATGCAGAGTGCGAGGAGTCCCAGCCTTCTTCCCCTACTGGGCTCAAAGATGCGGCCAGGCCAATCCTTCCGGTCACATAGGAAGGGGCCCCTTGGGTAATCTGGCAAATCTCTGAAGACCTAAAGAGACCACTGCTGCGCTTCCCCAGTGAATAGCCCAGCTAGACCATCCTACAGTGAAACTCAAAAGACTCAAAAGACCGCACTCTCACCCATTTGATCTAGACTTTTACATTTCCCAGGCTTCATCATTAGTCAACACCCAGTGATTACCTGACACCTGAGGTTAAAGCCTCTCATGTGCAAAACCAAGACCAAGGCAAAAAACAAAACAAAAACTTAGAGGAATTGGAATTATGTGGGATGAAGAAAAAATATACTATCCTCAGATAAGATATTGTATTCATGAAACAAGTACAGGAAGATATAAAAGAGTTCTTGGAAATTAAGAACATGTTAGCAAAACTGAAAAACTCAACAGAAGGGACTGAAGGATGAAAGTTGACTGCATCTCCACAAAATAAGAGTAAAATGACCAAATGACACTGGAGCAACCAAACAATGAGGGAGCTGGCTCGACCCAGGGGCTCACACCTGTAATCCTAACACTTTGGGAGGCCAAGGTGGGAGAATCATGAGGCCAGGACTTTGAGACCAGCCTGGACAACATACTGAGACCCGTTTCTACAAAAAATTTAAAAACTGGCTGGGCGTGGTAGCGTGTAACTGTAGTCCTAGTTCCTTGGGAGGCTGAGGTGGGAGACTCGCTTGAGCCCAGGAGTTGCAGGCTACAGTGAGCTATGATTGCACCACTGCACTCCAGCCTGGGTGACAGAATAAGATCTTGTCTTAAAAAAAAAAAAAAGAAAAGAAAAGAAAACGAGGGAACTGTCCCGGATCCCCAGCACACAAATAACTGAAGCTCTAGAAACAAGAGGGAAGCGGTCTGCAGCAGATACCCACAGCCCTTGCTGTTTTGGCTCTCAGGGTCTGCGTGGCCACCCCAGCCTCCGGCCTCCCAACCCAGACATAAAAATCCACACACCAGGATGAACAGACTTTGCTAGTTTTTTGTTTGTTTGCTTTTTTGAGATGGAGTCTTGCTCTGTCACCCAGGCTGGAGTACAGTAGCACGATCTCAGCTCACTGCAAGCTCTGACTCCTGGGTTCACTCCATTCTCCTGCGTCAGCCTCCCGAGTAGCTGGGACTACAGGCACCTGCCACCACACCCGGCTAATTTTTTGTATTTTTAGTAGAGACGGGGTTTCATCATGTTAGCCAGGACAGTCTCGATCTCCGGACCTCGTGATCTGCCTGCCTCGGCCCCTCAAAGTGCTGGGATTACAGGCGTGAACCACCGCACCCAGCCACACTTCGCTAGTTTTTACTTCGTCCAGCCCTGTTCAAGAAGAAGATGCATAGGAGAAGATAAGCCCAGGGACCCTCCTGTGGAGAAAGAATTCAGATCCGTGGCTAAGCTTTTCTCCTCAAGTGTTTCCTCACAGGAAACAGGTTCATCGAAGGAGAGGAAGACAGGAAAATCAAAAGAAGTCAACATTCCCAGGAGATTCTCAGAAAAATAGAGAAGAGGTGTCAAGATGACAGCTGGCACCAGACCCCGAAGGCAGTGATTCTGGTCAGGAGCCACTGGCACCAAGATCTCTGCGGGTTTCCTGCAGCTCAGCTGAAGACAGGTTGCCCAGGTGATCCCATCCACATTCTTTCTACTCGGCTTATCTGGACATGATGGAAAAGCTTCCCGCCCTCCAGATCAGCTGCAGTCCTCAATCCATCCCACAGCTGTGCTCGGCTTTGACTTCCTCCTGAAATCGAAAGGTCAGCTGTGGGGACTGCAAAAACAGAACTCAGCAGCCGGCACCCTCCATCCACATTCTTGCCAGATGATCAGGGTCTTGTCCATGGATAGGGCGGCCCTGATGGTGGCAGCCCTGCTACACCCAGGACTCATTCAAGCCTTGCTGCTCCCTAGCTTCCCCAGAAGGGCCCCTCGTAAATTCTGGGGAAAGCTGAGGTCCACTCTGACCTTGAGATCACATTACGTTCTCCAGCAGACTTCATTCAACTTTGGGAACATGGTGCTTTCCCCACACAGCTAATCTGTGCTTTATGCTCAATGTTTTTAAAACCGAACAATATGTGAAGAGCAAGGAAATTATTAACTACAGGTCAGGCTAGCGCTTACTTTGGTGGAGAGCGTGGGGCATTCAACTGGGTGAAGGCATACGAGTGCTTCTAAGGTAGTGGTAGTGTTCTGCTCCTTAAAGATGGAAACACTATCCATTTTTCTCTTTAAACTATACATTTATGGCCAGGCACAGTGGCTCATGCCTGTAATCCCAGCACTTGGGGAGGCTAAGGTGGGAGGATTGCTTGAGCCCAGGAGTTCAAGACCAGCCTGGGCAACATAGCAAGATCCCATCTCTACTTAAAAGCAAAACTATACATTTATATTGGATATGCTCTTCTCTAGGGATGACATCTTTCACAGTTGGGGGAAAAAAAAGATAAAAACACACAGTAATAGGGAAAACTAAAGGGGAACCATCAGGACTCCAGAGACTATATTCTATAAAGGGAGAGCAAATGAAATAGTATGGACAGACAAGAGAAGGCTGAGGGAACCCACAGGCCAGAAAAGTAGCAGAAGGGGCAGTACAGAAGGTCCGCCCGCCATAGAGCCCCCATCCGCTGAGGTCCACCATTCACACACGAGCACGTGCGCCCTTGTCTGCAGTTTATGTTCACTCTGCATCCCTTCCTGTACTTCACGTTTCTCTTCATCCTTGACATCATGACTCTTGTGGCCCTGTGTCTCATCAACCCCACAGGAGGCAGCAGCTCAGCTTCCTGGAGCAAGCCACTGGTTAGTCCACTGCTGTTGAGCCTCAAAGCTTTGTCTCTGCTGGAAAGAAAGGCCTGAGGCTTCTGGCTGGTGCTCGGCTTCTCCTGCAGAGCCGCTCAGGGTCCGCGCGTAAGCATGAGGTCTCCTCCTGCCTTGAAGCTGGGGTTTCCCGTAACCTCTGCTAGGCCAGGAGCAAAGTCAAGCTCCATTTGAGTCCTGTTGCCCACGAGTATCACAGAATCATAGCTGTTAGCATGGGAAGGGGCCGCAGAGGTCATCTCGTATTCAATTTCTTGGCCTCATGGCTGGAGTTGAAAATCTGCTTTTCCAGAATGATATGAGCCAGTGTGAGACAGACACCATCTCCAGGAGGCCCATTTGGCTGTGCCCACAATCCCGCCCCCCAGCATGGTCTCCATGTGGTGTAAATAAGCCTCTAACCCACCAGGGTACAAATCCTCTCAGGGCTGCTTGACAGCACGTCTTGGGGCTGCCCTGCAAGGCCCGTGTGTCCAGAAAGAGCAATCTTAACTGTTGCTTAAGAGTTAAGAGTTAATCTTAAGAGTGACTTAACTGCCTTCCATTTGAAAAAGACATAGCATTTTTCCCCCCTTCTAATTATAAAAGAAAACCAAGGTGCCTGTAGAAAATCTGGAAATTACAGAAAAATCTAAAGAAGAAAATAAAATCACAATGACAGAAGTGCAACTGTGAAGGTTTGGCATCACATCTGAGCTAGAAACCACTCCTAAAACCACTAGCCACTGCCCCAACCCCCACACCCCCATCTGCCCAGCCAGTGACTTAAAATCGATGGTGTTAGACCGGGAGCAGTGGCTCACACCTGTAATCCCATCACTTTGGGAGGCCGAGATGGGCGGATCACCTGAGGTCAGGAGTTCGAAACCAGCCTGACCAACATGGAGAAACCCCGTCTCTACTAAAAATACAAAATTAGCCAGGCATGGTGGCGCATGCCTGTGATCCCAGCTACTTGGGAGGCTGAGGCAGGAGAATCACTTGAACTCGGGAGGCAGAGGCTGCGGTGAACCAAGAGCACGCCATTGCACTCCAGCCTGGGCAATAAGAGTGAAACTGTCTCAAAAAAAAAAAAAAAAAAAAAAAGATCGATGGCGCTGCTGCCCACTCTGAGGATGGCGCTGGGTGTGGGCTGTCAAGGAGGCAGGCCTTGTCCCTACAGACACAAGGGCCCACTCCAACTACCAGAGCCCTGCACAGCTCTGTGACACCCCGTACCCACAGGTGAGATCAAGACTGCAGGGCCATGGTGGAACTTTACCCAGCAGGAAATGATGAGGGAGGCATCCACACCAGTCTGCCCCCACCAGCCTGGCCACCAGTGCAGTGTGAGTGAGGCTTCTGGAGAACATTCTGCCCCCAAGTCCCTCCAAGAAAAAGGATCAGAGAAGGAGGGCTCTGCTCTGCCCCAGGCCTCAGACCTGGCTTCCTGCAGCTAAAGGCCCAGCCTGCAACACGGAGTTCAGGCCCACGTGGCCTGTTCTGGGAGTCCGGCAATGCTGGGTGATCTCCCAATGTGATGCTGTCAGGTGCCACAAAGCAGCCCCCATGCAGGTGGGGCCATTCCCAGCCGGGGGCCCCAGACAGGGCCCTGACTGAGAATGCTGCCCAGTGCACTCAGTTCACTCCCTTTTGCTTTTCCCAAGCCTGCAGAATTGAATGTGAGGGCCAGAGGGCAGGCTCTGGGTCTCACACAGATGGGCAGCCTGGCTGCAGTCACCAGCTCATGCCACACTGGACAGATGGGCGGCAGGGAAGGGGAGGAAGAAGTGAGAGAGAGACTGACGCAGCAGGTAGCAGGGACGTGAATTGTCATGTGAGCCAAAAAGAAACTACACAGCAGCCAACTCCAGCTACGTGCTGCAGAGAAGAGCAGCTGTCTCAAGTTTAGAAATACAGGAAAGCTGACCGACTAGGAAGAGATTAAAAACTCGCATCTTCAAACACAACCTTACAGAAATTGACCTTTATTTGTTGTACTAAAGCCTGTTTAACTTTTGATACAAAGTAACATTTTAGTACAGAAAATCCCAGTCTGTCAGCTCAGTACCTGTGTGTGCACACTGTACCATCTCAGTCCCACTCTGCCTGCAACTTAGAAAACAGCCCCTACCCCCAGAGGGTCTGCGAGTTAATACCTTGAGAATAGTCTACAGTTTTTCATAGTTTGTCTGAGCTAGAAAACTTGTACCTGTAAAACAAAGGACAGCATTGAGGACTGAAACTTGTCTCTTTTTTGAACAACTGTGCAAGAAAATATATCCCTTTTTAAAAAACATCAGTTATGGCTAAACTACAATCTAGTGTCTAGAATTACAAAGAATAAAATGAAATCAAAGATTTCTCGCTAGTAAAATGAAATGTTAGGAACAGTATTAAAATATAGGTCCTACCCCAATGACACTTACACAGAGCCCAGTACAGTACCTATTATTAACAGGACGCACAGCTTAAGGAGGAACCACATCAAATCTTCAGCCAGACATATCCAGCCTCAGAAGTGCAAAAAAAAAAAAAAAAAAAGCCTAAACGAAGACACCCACATTGAGTAAGGTGCATGCCGTGAGTGCTGTAACCAAGATTAAAAAGACCTTAGTTTTTCTTTTTAGACTGTTGATAGTGACAACAATAACCATTATGCATCCCCTAAAAGCTCTCAATTCAATGTCTGAAACATGAATGTTTTCATATTAAAAGGAACTGATGTACCTGCCACCCTCTAAAAGGTTTAAGAATTACCCTGCAAACATTGCACTGATGAAGGCTGTCACGACTTACAGAGCCTAAGGAGGACCCAATGGCAGGCATCAGCATAGCTGACACCACCTGGACCCCACCGCGGCCCTGCCCACGCAGCTCTCACAGAGCAGACACAGTGCTCAAGTAATAAGCACAGATGGAGGAGAAACGAGAGGCTGTGGAAGGCAGGAGAGAAAGGCCGAGAGACGAGTTTGTAAGAACACCAAAGTCACCTTCCCCAGTGTGGGAGGAAAATGCCAAAGGCACTGGTTCTGCTGCCACAGGCAGTCTGAGCACCTGCAGTTGTGACGTCCTTCCAGGAGAGGTGCCACCAAGGAGCAGGAGCTTTGTCAAAGCTCTGGTCCCACCAACAAGAACCTCCCAAAGCAAAGCAGCCCCCATTGAGGTTCCAAGGTCGTTTTGCTGAAGACGGGAACGAAACCAACACCAAAGCGACAGGGGTTGACAGAGGGGGCAGGGGCTGGGCACCAGCAACATGGAGCCGTTCAAGTAAACATAAACCACCAAATACTTAGAAAAGGTTTGTAAACGAGTGATCCAAAAGGTTCTCTTTGCAGCATCTCTGATCAGCTGGCTAAAGAAAGGTGGGTGCTGAACCCGTCTTTAGTGTTATCTGTTTTGTGTTAAAGAACACGTGTGACAGGGGCAGCGGGTGCGGGCCTGGGCCTGGATCGCACGCAGCTGTGGCCCTCTGTCTACAAAGGAGGTGCTTCTGGGTCCTGGTTCTGGATCCTTCCCCTGCATGTTCATAGACGGACAGACTTCTACTTTGAGTCGCTAGAAAAGAGCTGAGCCTGGCGTCCCCTCAGGCGGCCAGCTGCAGTCATCCACAGCACAGCATTCTCCTAGAGCGGGCAGGCTGGAATCCACAGGACTTTATTTTGTTCTTGATTGACCATTGCCAAGATCTGAGTGCAAATGCTTGACAGGGCTCCTCCCTGGATGACCCCTGCAAAAGAGACCCCCAGACACATGTCATTCAGCTCAGAGTTAAGACCCCAGGTTTGAGGCAAGGCAGTACAGTTTGCACTCTTTCTACTGTGTGGCTGTCTGCTTTGAGCTACTTGGCACTCTGCTCCATCCCCACCTGACTCTCCTTCACCAACAAGAAACTGGGAAAGAAAATTGCCCCTCGTGAATTGATCACTCACATGTAAACTGCCCACTCCACTGCAGTAATACCCTGGGTTGGGTTTGCGATGGTTGGGGGAATCCCAGGGCATCAGAAAGAAGTTTGGAGGACATGTAGCGGTGGTCTAATCGTTAGCAGGATTCTGCAGGAAACGACCAGTTTAAGGAGCCAGACAGCTCATGGCCAAGAGGAGAGTCACAGCACGATGATGACTCCAACTCGGGCCAGCTCTGTACTATAGGAGTTTGACGCCGGGGTCTATAGACAGCAGGCCAGGGGAATTCCAGTGTGCTCCACAGAACAGCACCTGGACACAAACCAAGCCCCCACTGCAACAAGCCACGCTCAGAAACTGACAGTGAGTGTTTAGAAATGGGACGTTTCTAACGGAGTGCTATGGAAACGGGACGTCGTAATTTTATGTCTGTTGAATCTAACAAGAAAAAAATGGAGCTTACCTTTTCCAAGTTTTAGAGTTTTAAAATTTTCATCTCTCTAGAAATTGTCAGTGTATTTGGCTAAATACCAGTCTGTGAGGAATTGGAAATGAAAGTACACATATGCGCACACACACACAGGCATGCACACCTGCACATGCACATACCTACACACACACGGGCACCAAGTCCAGGTCCCTGGACAAGATCATAACACTCTCCACAATGCAATTAGAATCCCTGTCCCATCCTCTGTGACTGCAAATGCTAATACCCTGCAAATGACAGACTTTCCTCAAGAGGCTGAATGAAGGCCGGAAGGTGAAATAGAACCACACTTTATTGAGTTTGTTTCACTTTGAAGACCAGAGATGGTAAGGGGGGAGCAATTTTTTTTTTTTTTTTTTTGCCAAATCCCACTGCAAAACTGGCCTGCCCTGGAGGGTGCTAGGGACAGATGGGCCCCTAGCCACTGCTGGCACACTGGGGGCTGCTGCAGTCCCTGCCATGCCTGAGGACACTGTGGCTGCACTAAACGGCACCTGTGCTGCGAGACAGACCCACCACTGCACATGTGGAAACGAGTGGGCAAGCCAGGCAGGACCTGAGGCCAAGATCAGTGAGCTTAACATTCAACCCGTGAGAATCCTGACACTGGCCAGGGGCTGCAATCTGAACACCTGACTTGTCAGCAACGTGCTCATGACAGCACTTGGGAGCATGTAGGCAGCACGGGCTTCTCCACAGCTATGAAAACTGTCTTGGGAAGCCTCTGCTTCCTTCCCTGCTGCCTGCTCCCCGCTCCAGGCCCACGCACACCTACCTGTGAAGTACCTGCTGTACTCCTGCTCAACCTTCTGCGCCGCCTCAAACTGCTCTTTGGAATGCCTCTGAGTCACCTTGTCCCTCAGGTAGATGGGGTCTCTCTGCTCCCTGTGGGAACAGCCCGACACCAGGCTGAGCACTGAGCCTCCTCCAGGCCCTCTTTCCTTCCTCTGTCCAGGCTAACAGGGGCCCCATCGAGGCAGGGGTAGGCTATGGGGGGAGGCCCCACGTGCTCCCCACATAAAGCGCAGCAACAGTCTGCAGGCTGCGGGGGAGCTCTGGGCAGAGAGGGCGGAGGCAGGGCACCCCAGTGCATGCACTTGGAGCAGACGCACCAGCAGCCCCAGCACAAGTCCCAGAAGCTCAGCAGCACAGAAAGCCAAAATGGAGCATGGTCTTGGTGAGCCCTTGGCCCAACCAGCACAGGAGCCGAAGCTCAGCGAAGGCAACAGCTCCTGAGTCATGAGCCAGCTCGGGGCTGAGTGGGACTCTGCCCAGGCCACCGGCTCCCCTGCTCCTAAGCAGCACGTAGAGAGGAAAGGGGGCTGGGGCAGGAGGGGAGCTGCGCAGACCAAGCTGGCCATGCCCAAGGAACAGTGGCAGCACCCAAATGGCAGACGGGCGTGGGGAAGGGGCTGCGCTTGGCTGACACCACCTCTGAGTAGGGGACAGGGCCGAGAGGTAAGGGTCATTTTCTACATGTGCTACCTATTTCAAGACCCTCGGCCCATCTCTCATTCCTCAACCCCCCACCCCAACACACCCTGCTCCCCACTTGGGCTCCCAGCCATAGCTGTGACAAGGCCCCGGAGGAGCCCAGGGGGCCAGTCACCTACTTGACGTGCTTGGCGCTCTTGTAGTGGATGAAGATGACAATGGGGTAGATGTGCATGTGGTGCAGCCGCTCGATGGCGTGGGGAGCGATGTCCAGGAGGCAGTGTCGGTTCTGGGGGTAGGGGGTGCAGAGTGAGCCCTGGGGGGCAGGGAGGGGCAGCCAGCGCCCTCTCCTGCCACCAGCAGGACCCACCTCACCTCACAGAGCTCTACCCACAAACAAGGCAGTAAAGTCACATGGTGCACCGTGGGGAAACCGTACCCAGGAAACTCCCAACAAACCCCACTCGCTGTGATGAAGGCCAAGGATGGCAGCCAGGGCTAGTGGGGCCCGGTGGGGGGTGGCCAGCCCAACTCCAAACTTCCTTTCCCGCCTTTGCCCAGATACAGGGACTTTCTGAAAGCCCTGCCCCACCCTGGCCTCTGAAGCATTATTTTTGCCAGACTGAGCGAATGAAGAGCCAGAGTCTGGTGAGCCTTTATGTGGCTGGGACTGAAGTACGTCTGTCGACCCAGGCCTCCAGGTGGAGTGCAGGCCCGTGCACTCCCCACCCCTAGATGCTCCTCCAGGGCATTCCCCCCACTAGAGCTCGCCCACTTTCAGCAGTGAGAAGCCAACACCTTCATCTCACAGAGAAGGAAAGCAAAGCCCAGCGAGCAAGCTGAGCAGCCTGGAGAAATGCAGCCCAAGGAGCGGCCATGTCCTCCGACTCTGAGTGTTTGCTCCGCCAGCACTCCCCACAGATGTCCCCGCCCTCATGTTGCCTAGGATGTTCGAAGGCACCAAGAGACATAGCCCTTTTAGGGGCAGGGACCCTGAGGGAAGGTACGTTCCTGTCCCCAGAAGGTGCATGTGAAATTGTTCGGCACATGCATTTGGGGACCCCGTTCTGGAATGCCCTGCAAGAGGCCTTTCTACAGAGCTCAATACTCTCATCAGAGATGAGACTCCCCACCACCCGCCAGAGAGGGAGACGGGCGGCATGCACACAGGGCAGCTCCTCCACCCCCGCCAAGGGATGTGCCTGCAGCTCCTCCACCCCCGCCAAGGGATGTGCTTGCAGAAACACACAGCAGCCATGAGGGCAAGCCCAGGCGCAGATGAACTCAGACTAACACAACACGGTGGGCTTAAGGTCTGAGAGCCGCTGGGGCAGAGGATCACGGACCAGGGGCCCAGACCTGTGCACAGGGGGTCTAATACTGGATGCCTAACCCTCAGACTGAAGCCCTGGGTACCTTTTCTGTGATCTCCTTTATTGACGCCACAGTGGTCACATCGAAATGGCCGCTTCTCCGCTTATAGTCGACAAACAGGCAATCTTTGACACCCCGCTCAATGGCCTGCTGGGAGGCCTTCATCACCTCTGCAAAGCACAGACACAGGAATCAGGGAGCCCCAGGCCCTGCTGAGCCCCAGCAGAGGGAGCAGGGGAAGAATACTGCTCAGCAGCTGTCAGTACCCAGTCCTGCCGTGCACGAATCTGACCCACGTCAGGAGGCTCTGAAATACTGCGAAATCCGCCCCCCAGTGCTGCCGCCCACTGTGCACAGCTGGGCAGGCAGGCGCACAGGGACATAGAGACAAAGAACCCAGTAGGCATAGAGGGTGCCCCGTGTCCCTTACCAAGGGGACATCTGCAGAACTTGCCAGGCGCCTCATTCACCAGCATCTCTTTCACCACGTCCAGCAAAGGCCCCAGAATCAGGACAGGCCTCAGAGCGGCACAGTCCACCTTCTGGACCCGCTGATAGGCCAGGCTCACCGAATCTGAGGGAGAGAGAGCAGCAGCGTCACAGACCCAGCGTGGAGTGGAGGACCTGAGTGGGGCTGGGGTACCCCGCTCCCCGACCTTGCCCACTCTGGTTTGCCTGGGACTCCCCCAGCTTCAGCACTGAAAATCTCATGTCCCAGGTACACCTGGGCATCGTCACCCCTGGAGTCCAGCATGAGCACCCCCCACGCCCTCTGTGAACACCAGAGGCAGCTGGTCTCAACCACTCATCCCAGAGCTTCCTTCGGCTCTGATTTTTCCTCGTGGGTCCACACCTGCTTCCCCTGCTTCATCTCCATTGTCCTCTGCTCTCTGGCAAGGCAACCTCTGGGGTTTGGCAGGAGAGCTCCCACTCCCCAGGAAGGTGTGGTCAGTGTAACCCAGACCTGCCCAGTGACAGAGGTGAGGCCTCCCCCATCTGCACGGCTAGAACGCATGAGTGCTGTGAGCCAGCTCTGGCCATGCAGTTGAGGATAACCCTTAAGAAACAGAAGAGTCACAAGATGGGACCTGGGTCCTGGATGATCCTCAGAACACAACTGCCTCTCCCACATCACCCACAGCTCAGGCTTATAAATGACAGAGAAATAAACTGCCCATCATGCTTAAGCCACTGTTACTTGGTTTCAGTTAAAGCAGTCAAACCAATATCCTAGTTGATACATGCAGTAAACCTCCCCTTGCACCAAATGAATAAAGTCCTTGCAGGGAGAACACGGTCTAAAACCCAGCAAGTATCTTCCTGGCATCTCCCTAGTATAAGTCACCATGCTGGCATATCAGAAACATAATAAAGAACAGAACACAGAGTTCCTGCCATTAAAAAGGGCACGCTTTAACTAGAGTCACAACAGAGCAACACATGAACAGCAAGACAGCACGCAAGAGCTGCCTGGCAATTCCAGGAGCGACAGGCTTCAGTAGACACTGTGGCTGGATGACAGGGTGAAGAGACCACTTGAGCAGGCCCAGGAGGCAAGTGGGATGAGAGCGGTGTCTCCAGAAAGAGCAGGGCAAGAGGGTAAGTATGGAGGTGACAGGGAGGGCAGAGCACAAGATGGCAGCAGGCTTGGGAGGAACGGTCCATGAGAGGCTCGGCCTGGAGGGATCTGTACGCATATGCAGAGCAACGAGTGACTGCAGAGTAGGCACAGGGACCAGGAGGCAGAGGTCTCAGGAGAACACAAGCACAGTGCCAGCTGCAGCAGCAGGCTCCATGAAGACCAACCTGTGGGCAAACTCAGGGGGAATAAGTCAAGTCTCTCCTCTTCCCTTGCCCTGTCCCCACGTGTGTTTTTAGAAGTGATCTCTGCTGGGAGTGGTGGCTCACGTCGGTAATCCCAGCACTTCGGGAGGCTGAGGCACGTGGATCGCTTGAGGTCAGGAGTTTGAGACCAGCCTGGCCAATATGGCAAGACCCCATCTCTACTAAAAATACAAAAATTAGCTGGGTATAGTGGCGTGCGCCTGTAGTCCCAGCCACTTGGGAGGCACAATAATCACTTGAACCCAGGAGGCGGAGGTTGCAGTGAGCTGAGACTGTACCACTGTACTCCAGCCTGGGCAACAGAGCAAGACTAGAGCTCAATAAAAATAAATAAATAAATAATAAATAAATAATAAAACTGATCATTATCCACATACATCCATACAGTCTTTTACACAGCATTGCCTAACCTGGTGACCAGCAGCTCTGTTGTTTAAAACTGGAGGGTTTGGTGGTCACATTCACCACCTTGGAACCCCATGTGGTTCTGAGTGAAGGTTCCGAGGAGGAGTCAGGGGACAAAGAACTTCCTCTGAGAGGAGTTTACATAAACAAATCCTTTCTGTAACAAATCCGAACCTCATGGATAAGGCCAGCAACTCCTCTCTGATACCCCTTCCCCAACCCCAGTCCCCACCGGCCCCCTTGAAGGTAACCACTATTATGAGCTGGAAGTGTACCCTAGTTCTCATAAACTGACTTTTATATGCTAAAGGAAACCTGAAATATACATTGTTTAAGCGTGTCTGTGGATATTTTGTAACTCGCTCCTTGTCTGGGGCTGTGTTTCTGGGAGGCATCCCTGGTGATTCGTGGTGGGCCTCTCTACTCCTTTTGGGCATGCCATGAACACTTCCTCTGCATCGACTTATCCACTTCCTTGCTGATGTACACTACGTCACCGTTCCCTCCATTTACTGGTATAAGAATCATATTCTCAAATTATGGCACAGTCACTGTAGGGTGGAATTCAATATAGTGCTTAAAAGAATGGTTTGGAAGAATATTACTGATATGGGAAGATGCTAACAATATGATAGTGGAATTATCTGGATGAAAATGGTATAATGCAGTGTGATCCCAGTTTTGTTGTATTAAGTAAAAAACTGGAAAGAAATACATTAAAATGTTAATGGTTAAAAAAATCATATTCTCCCTTACTATTAACATTCCACATTGTGGGGTACCAATTTAGGAGATTCCTATTCCTCCCTGACAATCTTGTTTGTCAGAGGTCCTCACAATTACAGAATCGTAAGACTAGACAGCATCTTATGAGTCACTGACTCCAACTGGAGAAGAAAACCAGCCTATCCAAGGTTACAGCTGATCAGGGCACAGCAAAGGCATGGTCTTGGGGGTTCCAACCTTAGACCATACTGCAATGGCTTTCTTTAAAAGGTGCTGTGGACTGAACTGTGTCCCCTCAACATTTATATGCTGAAGCCCTAAGTCCCAAAGTGACTACATTTGGAGGCGGAGTCTTCAGGAGGTAAGTTAAATGAGGTCAGAAGAGTAGGGCCCTAATCTGATGGAACTGTGGCTTTTTAAGAGGAAGAGACACCAGAGATCAATCTCTCTGTCTCCAACATGTGAGGACACAGAAAGGAGGCAGCCGCGTACAAGGCAAGATGAGAGCCCTCACCAGAACCAACCACACTGGCACCCAGGTCTCGAATTTCCAACCTCAAGAACTGGGAGAAAATGAATTCTTGTGATTTAAGTCACCTAGTCTGTGGTATTGGTTTTTTGGGTTTTTTTGTTGTTGTTTCTGAGATATGCTCTTGCTTTGTTGCCAGGCTGAAGTGGGTGGCACAATCATAGCTCATTGAAGCACTGAACTCCTGGGCTTAGGTCATCCTCCAGCCCCAGCCTCCTGAGCAGCTGGGACTACAGGCACACGCCACCACGCTTGATTAGTTTTTTAAAGTTTTTGTAGAGATGGGAGTCTTGCCATGTTGCCCAGGCTGGTCTCGAACTCCTGGCCTCAAACAATCCTCTTGCCTCAGCCTCCCAAAGTGCTGGGATTACAGGTGTGAGCCATCGTGCCTGGCCTGTGGTATTTGGTTATGGCAGCCCTAGCAGACTAAGATAAAAGGAAAACCAGTCCTCCATATATTCCTGAGACACTCCCGCACAAGCCCCTAAAGGGGCAAGCATAGAGACATGCAGTGTCCTCTGGGTGGTGGAGAGTTGAGTCCACTTAGGAGACCATTGTGGGTGGGTGCACAATCAGCGGGGTGGGGGGTACCAGGGATGCTATGTGGCAGCTGGAAGCAATAAACTAAAGCAGGAATTCAAAACGCACTGTGCATTAGAATTACCTGGGGTAACTTTTACACTACTACATAGGTATTACTATTCCCAGGTATAATGGAACAGCTTGCATCATCCCTTGGAGAACAACTAGAAAATCTGGGTAAAAAATGAGAAATATCTTTTTGAAGGCATCGTAGAGTGGCAGAGACAAACAGGATTTGAGATGCCAAGATCCTGGAGAGAAGGAAATTGGAGTAGTAGAAGCTGACATTCTGCAGGCCTTTCCCCCTTCAGAGCAACTAGAGACTTCTAAAGTGAGAGTGAGGGGCAGAGAACCCAGGCAGCGGGCCGCTGCTGAGGGCTGAGAACCCGGGCAGAGGGCCGCTAAGGACCGAGAACCCACAAAAAGTTTCTGAAAATCTCCAAAGCAGGTGAGATCGAAACGGAGTTCAGGGCTGCCACGACCTGATGGGTCATGATTCCAGAGGAAGGGAAGGGCAAAGAACTAAGTCTGATATCAGAGGTTTTCCCTTAAAACTATTTGCCAAATTCTTAAGCTGTGAAAAGCAAGAAGCTAAGCATCTAAGAAAGTCACTGAGACACTGAGCAGAGTAGAGTGTTCCATGGCCTCCCAGTGCTGAAGAGTGAGAAACTGGAAGTCAAGGCTCCCTAGCGAGGAGCGGCACTAAGGAACACCCCAGGCTGGGACCACCGGTGGGCCGCCCCCTAGGGTCAGGGTGAACCACCAGCTGCACAAAAGCTGCAACCCATCCTGAGGTCAGCTGAGCCTGTGGCTGAATCGAGGTGATCTGTGAGCAGCGGCTATCTCCAGAGCAGAGGGCAGACCCTCTCTGGAGGCCAGCAACATCACTCAGAGCCCCGAAAATCCCCTAAACATAACTTCTGACATCTCAATAAACAATAACCAGGCATATCATGGGGCAGGACCAAGAAAAACAAAGACCACAGAAAGAGACTCGGGGATGACCACACATGACAGTTACCAAACGCGGTCTTTAAAAAAATATGACTAAAGTATTTAAGAGGACAGATGACAAGAGGGAAAGTCTCAGCAGAGAATTAAAGCCTGGTAAAAAAGAACCAAGTAGAAACTCTAGAGTGATAAATAAAACACAATTTCTGAAAGTAAGAACATAATGGATGCAACAGAAGAGTGGAATAATGAACATGAAAAAAGGTGACTAGAAAACAACCAGGCTGGCTGAATCATGGAGAGAAAGAAAGAAGTGGAAAATACAGGAGAAAAAGAGCCCAGAAGATAGGAGACAGACATGGTGTGGTCGAAGACTGAAAACCCCGAGGAGAGGCGAGGTCAGCACAGAAGCAATATGAAAGAAACTGCAGCCAGGAATCTCCAAAACCGACCACACCACCAAGCTATAGATGTAAAAAGCGCTAAGAACCTTCTGAGCAGGATAAACATAAAGAAAACCACACGGTGGAAGCATGGTATGGTAAGAAATTAAGAAATTTCTTTCTGAGAAAGAAAGGCAGAGAAAACCCTACCCACCCATGGTGGTGGACGGGTGGTGGCACTGCCTTCGGCACTGAGCCTACAAGGATGACTTCTCACCTGCAATGAGCATGGCAGGCTGACAAGTGTCCCCCAAAGACTGATTCACGTCCTAAGCCCCAGATCCCATGAGCATTACCTTATGCAACAAAAGAAGCAATGATTCAGTTAAAGGCCTTGGGAGGAGGGGCTTTTCCTGGAGTATCTGGGTAGGTGGGTCCTAAATAAAACCCCATGGGTCCTCTGAGAGGCAGAGGGAGTTGACAGACAGACCCACGTGAAACGGGAGGTGACGTGAAGACGGAGTGGATGAAATTTGAAGGTGACAGTGATGTGGCCACAGCAAAGGCCTGGTGGCAGCCACCAGAAGCTGGCAGGGGCAAGGAACAGGCTCTCTCCTCAAGCCCCGAGGAAGCGAAGGCTGGCCAACAATTTGACTGACCCAGTGGTCCTGAGTGTGGACTTCTGGCCTCCGGAACTGGGAGGATAAACCCGTGTGTTTGAAGCCACATACAGTCTGTGGTAATTGGGTACAGCAGCCACGGGAAACTACTACACAAAGAGAGCCATGGACCAGGAATGGTATCTTTAAAGCACCCAAGTAAAACATCCACCAATCTAAAATTCTATATCCAGTGAAAATCTCCAAAAACGATATTAAAATGGACATTTTCAGACACAAACACTGACAGGATGTGTCCCCAACAAACCTGCATTATAAGAAAAACATTTCTGCGAGTTGTTTAGCAGAAAGAAAACAAAGTAAGAAAGAAGCACAAAACTGCAGGAAGGAATGAGGAGCAATGGAAATGTAAAAGGCAAAAACTGATGAATAACTGATGTGCAAATGGATAGACTGAGTCGGAGTTAAAGTAGCTGTAGAATTAAAATGAGAAAAGTATGGCCGGGCACAGTGCCTTGTGCCTGTAATCCCAGCACTTTGGGAGGCTGAGGTGGGCGACTCACTGAGGTCAGGAGTTTCAAGACCAGCCTGGCCAACATGGTGAAACCCCATCTTTACTAAAAATACAAAAATTAACCACATGTGGTGACAGGTGCCTGTAATCCCAGCCACTTGGCAGGCTGAGGCAGGAAAATTGCTTGAGCCTGGGAGGCGGAGGTTGCAGTGAGCCGAGATCTCACCACTGCACTCCAGCCTGGGTCACAGAGCGAGATTCTGCCTCAAAAACTAAAATAATAGTAAAATAAAATGAGAATAGTATCAAAGCTAGAAAAGAGACAAATGGAGTTAGTGGTTTCCTGTTTTACAATTATCAGGGAAGTAGTCAAAGCAATGATTTCTCCTAGCAGTAAGTCAAAGGTGCACACTGTGACATCTAGTTTAACCCCCAAAAGAATAAAATAGAAACAACACTAGTAGATGTGAAAGGATAATAGTAGATGGTATAGTGGCAGAATAAAACAAACACATGATTCATTTTTAAAAAGCAAGAAGGAAGGGACAAACATAGATGAGGTAGAATGAACACAAAACAAACAGTAAGATGGCAAATGTCTACTTTATGTAATAGGGTAAATACTCCTGATGAAACAATCAAGACTGTCACAAGGGTGTTCAGATTGTGGAAATTCCTCACGCTGCTCACTTTTCTGTAAATGAATGTGCGCATTGCTGTATGTATGTTACACTTGGATAAAATTTTTAAAAAGACACATTGCCACAGTGGATTTAAAAAGTCCCACATGCTGCTTACAAGGGATATTTAAATATAAAGTGATAGAAAAGTTTGAAGTAAAAGAAAAAGATAAACTGTGCCAAAGATAACCAAAAGAAAACTGGTAATGTCAATAAAAATATCACATAAAATAGACTTTCAGCAAGAAACACTCCTGGAGATCAAGAAGGGCATTTTATAATGATAAAAAGGTCAATTTACCAGGAAGGTATAACAATGCAAAAGGTGTATGTACCTCACGACAACTTCAAGATATGTACTGAAAAAGACCTGAAGAGCTAAAAGGAAGAATAGACAAAGGGCTATTTTTCAAAGACGCTAACACCACTGGACAAATGCCAAATATACCGGAAATGGCACCTGCAGAGAAAGAAGCAGAGGGCACAAGAGTGGAGACCAAAGAGAGTGAAGGAAAACCAAAAAGCAAAATAAGAGAGAAACCTTGCCTTGAATAACAGGTTGGCAATTTTTATTTATTTATTTATTTTATTTTATTTTTTTGAGACAGGGTCTCACTCTGTTGCCGGGGCTAGAGTGCAGTAGCATGATCACAGCTCACTGCAGCTTTGACCCCCCAGGCTGAAGCAATCTTCCTGCCTCAGCCTCTTCAGTAGCTGGAACTACAGGCATGAGCCACACCAGGCTAATTTTTGTATTTTTTTTAGTAGAGATAGGGTTTCACCATGTTGGCTAGGCTGGTCTTGAACTCCCTGCCTCAAGTGATCCACCCACCTCAGCCTCCCGAAGTGCTGGGATTACAGGTGTGTGCCACCATGCCTGGCCTAAACTTTTTCTATAAGGGGCAAGATAGTAAATACTTTAGGCTTTGAAGGCAAAACGGCAAAATTAAGCAACTGTTATCAGCAAAGGGCTAACAGATTTTTTACATCTTACATTTAAAAAAGTGTAAAAACCCATGTTTAGCTCACAGACCATCTAAAAATAGGCAGTGGTCCAGACTCAGTCCATGGCCAATAGTTTGCCAACCCTTGTCCCAGCTGATAGTGACAGGGGGCCGTGAACTACAGTGTGATCCACTCAACTCCCTAGGCCTAAGGTCTTCATTGTGAAAAGGGAAGGGAGGGAGGGAGGCAGCCAGCTGCCCTACACTCTGCTGCTCACTGCCGCCCCCATACCTGATTGCCAGGGAGGGTATGTTCTAGGACAGTAGACACACACCAGGGCCCTGGGTGCCACGCTCCTAAGGACCTCTTGCTTTAAAGGACAAATGCATCCTTTCCACAAGGACTGTTTACTAGGGGATGTCTCACATCTCCTATTACTCAACTCCAGCCCAGGATCAGCATCTTGTCCCAGAAGTATCATATAAGAGTTGTTAATGAACAGAGGACTGAAGCCAGAAATGCAGACGTTCTGCAGAAACCAATGGCTCTTGGTCACTACCAAGCAGCCTGTAATAACCTAAAAACAAATGGCAAGCAAGGCACTCAGCAGAGATTGCTTTTTGCCTACCCAATAGCCATCCCTCCATTCTTTCTTAGTAACTGAACCTCGTACTGAGGCCATGCACCCAGCTGAAACATGCCTTTTCTTCTTGTTTTAATTATTATTTTTTGAGACAGGATCTTGCTCTGTCACCCAGGCTGGAGCACAATGGAATGATCTTGGCTCACTGCAACCTCCGCCTCCTGGGTTCAGGCGATTTTCCTGCCTCAGTCTCCCAAGTAGCTGGGATTACAGGCGCATGCCACCACACCTGGCTAATTTTTGTATTTTTAGTAGAGACAGGGTTTCACCACGTTGGCCAGGCTGGTCTCGAACTCCTGACTTCAGGTGATCCACCCACCTCGGCCTCCCGAAGTGCTGGGATTAAAGGTGTGAGCTACTGTGCCTGGCCAAAACATGCCTTTTTGACCTCTCTTGCACATGCGAGTGGACAATGAGATGTAAGTTGAAGTCACAGGTTAGGGCTTCCAGATAGCTGCTGAAAGAGGCACGCTCAGCTGAGGCACACTTCTGCCTTACCCCTTCCTTCCTCCTGCTGCCTGAAACAGGGATGTGCTGGTTGCACTGACAGGCAGTGACCGGGAGGATAGAAGCCACACCCCATAGATGTGGCTCTGAAGATGGCAGCACCCCCCGACCAAGCCAGACACACACCTTCAGACTTGTGCACAACGCAAAGTAAGCCTCTCTTTTCTTTAAGTCCCAGTTGTGGAGCTCCTGGATCCACAGCAAACCCCATCTGGAGAGCCCACTGGAAAATGAGCTCGGCCACTTGCCTTCAAAGAGTGGAATGGAGTCATTGGAAAAGGCATCCAAGGAGAGTAGGTCTTTCCCATCCTTGGATCCGCTGCGTTTGTGCTTGTGTTTCCTCCGAAAAAAGGACCGGCGTGCAGCCGCCGACAGTGTCTTTGTGGCGCTATTATCATCTTTGACTTCAGACATGCTGAGCCTCCTGGAGAATTCTTGGTCCATCCTGTGGCACAGGGGACAATGCTGGGCAGGGCCATCGAGACCCTGCTGCCTTACCCTACCCGACCTTCCTGGTGAGAAAAGCAAGGGTGGGCCAGGCACCAGGCTCCCCCTACACTCCTTGGCAGGTCTCAAGGCTACATCTCCTCCCACGCCCCTGGGACCCCTCGGTACATCCTGTGGGGCGACACGAACACCAGCACCAGGGCAAGCTCTCAGAGCAGGTGATTTTTTCTACTACAGCATATTCAGCTCAGTGTCAAAAAGAACTGCTAGGACAGCCTTCACTTGGCGACGAGTTACACTTCCTGCCATAGAAGGGAAATGATGCAGGGATGCAGGCTGCCTCGAAAACATGCTCAGTGACGAGCCAGACGAAAGGCCACACTATGCAATCCCATCCACACAGGAGTCCAGACAGGGAAACCCGTGGGTATCAGAAGTGAAGTAGTGGCTGCCTAGGGCTGAGGGCTGGGTGGGAGGACAGTAGGCTAAGCGGCTGACAGCTAATGGGTCTGGGGTTTGTTTGAGGTGATGGAAATACTCTAAAATTAACTGTGGTGGCGGCTGCACACACCTATGAATATGCTGAAAACCACTGAATGGTACACTGTGAGGGAGCAGCAAGGCGTAAGTATCTCCATAAATCCATTTTTCTAAAACAAGTAATGCCTCCTGACCCACCACTGTGCTCTATGCAGCACTGACTCACATTAGGAGCAGCTTTTTAGACCAGCACTTTTGTCAAAACGTAGAGAGCAGAAGCTAAGATGAGAAGCAGAATCCCTCCTCCGGCAGCCCTGGCCCCAGCCCCCTCCCATGGGACAGCTCCATGGCTGGTGGCCCTCAGCGACCCCTGCCCCACCCCGCCCCAGACCCAGAGAACACTTACACATATTTGCTGGGAATCTGCCCACGCTGGATCTTCTGGGCATTCTCGTCCAGCTGCCAAGCCATCCAGGACCCAAACGTGCCCTGGGGCAAGGTGTCATCCACGTAGAGAATGTCGTCCTTCTTAAAGCTCAGCTCATGCTCCACATCTGCCAGCCGGTCGTACAGGGCCCTGGACCACAGCACAGAGGGAACATGATCAGGTGGCTCTGGTCACCAAGGACAAACAAGGTGCCTTTTGTGGCCAGGCCCCTAAGGCTGATATTCTGCTTTGAGCTATCTCCAAACTTGATCAGGAACCGCCGAGGTGGTGATTCTCAAAGTGGGGAGCCCTGTGTTTTACATAAAGGGACAAAGACTGCCTTTGCTCCCCTAACACTGAGGGCACATCCCCATCAGAAAGAACTCGCCAAGATCTGAGGCCATAACTTCCCTTTCCAGGTGGCCTTTCCCAGTTGCCTCCCTCCTCGAAGCCCAGGCCCCTGGTTCCCACAGAATGGAATCTCCCTAGGATGGAAACATGTCATCTCCTACCCTAGAGACAGGGAGTTGTACCGCATCAGTGTTCTCATGCTTTCTGTGATCTCGGATCTTAGGAAATGAGAAGAAAGCTCTGAGCTCCTCCTAGAAAGCCTGCTGCCATCCCTAAATGCCCACAGCATTTCATACAGTAGTAAGGGCACTGAAGATGCCTGGAAGTCCACACACACTGCAGAGGGATCTGCAAACCTGGCTTGGGGGACACCACAAAAAAAGGAGCACAGCACACAGGAAAACGGGGCTTGACTGCCTCCAAATTCTCCAGGCCTTAAGCCCTAAAGGAGCCCACCTGTTTCTTTAAGCCCTAAAGGTTGTTCTAAGTCACAATCATCTCACCATAAATAAGTGTGCAGATTTGAGTGTCAAGGAATGATGATCATGGCCCCAGCCTTGTGGGGCAAGAAACAGACAGCCATTTACCAGGAAGAGAATCTCCAATGAAAGCCTGTCCTCTGTCCCCAAATCTCCCACTGATTCCCCAGCCACTGGTACCTGATGTAGAAGCTGTCACCAGGCAGGCCCTTGGCCTTCGTGAACTCCTCGGGGCGGTACTGCACCTTCAGGCGGACGCCATCCCTGGGCTTCAGCATTTCCACGTAGACCTCCTCCACTGTCTTATTCCGCACGTCCAGGCTGCCATACTGCCAGGGATGGGGGTGGATGTGTCAGAAGGCAGAAGCCAGGGGACAGCATGGGCATTCGAGAGGGGCCAGTGCTGACCATATGGCAGAAATTCCACATCCCTCCTTAACTGAGACTCTGTCTGCCTCCCCTCTGCAGGAAGGGCTGAGTCTTCACGGTCTCCCCAGCCTCCAGCTCCCGTGCATGCTCCCTGGACATCAGGTCCTCTGCCAAGCGGCTGCTCTGCCCTTGACAGCTTATCCAGGAAAAACCCTGTTCTGGTGACCAGCAAGTCTGGGCTTTTCAGAATAGGGCCCTTCCTCTTGCTGATGCTACCTGTGCTTTTATTTATTTATTTTTTGAAACAGGGTCTCCCCTCTGTCACACAGACTGAGTGCAGTAGTGCAATCATAGCTCACTGTAGCCCAGACCTCCTAAGCTCAAGTGATCCTCCCACCTCAGCCTCCAGAGTAGCTGGGACTACAGGCACACTCCACCATGCCTGGCTAAATTTTGTTTTGTTTTTTGTAAAGATAGGGTCTCACTATGTTGCCCAGGCTGGTCTTGAACTCCTGGGCTCAAGCAATTCTCCCACCTTGGCCTCCTAAAGTTCTGGGATTACAGGTGTGAGCCACCAAGCCCAGCCCAACTTGTGCCTTTATATTCTCACAAACCATCTCTGTGGCAGGAGACCACAGAGAAAAACCATCCTCTCTCATCAGAACAGTCCTGCAGCTACACCACCTGAGGGCAAGCACCTCCTGGTGCCCAGGGCCTGAGCCAAGGCTCTGCCCTCAGGTTCCCTCGATGGCCTACCTGGCTTCACAGGGACCTGCTCAAAGGGGCTTGGCAGGATTCTGGGTTTACAGGGATTAAAAATCAACCCTGGCCAGGCACAGTGGCTCACGCCTGTAATCCCTGTACTTTGGGAGGCCGAGGCAGGTGGATCACCTGAGGTCAGGAGTTTGAGACCAGCCTGTCCAATGTGATAAAACCCCGTCTCTACTAAAAATACAAAACAAAATTAGCTGGGCGTGTTGGCGCGCACCTGTAATCTCAGCTACTCAGGTGGCTGAGGCAGGAGAATCGCTTGAACCTGGGAGGCAGAAGTTGCAGTGAACCAAGATTGTGCCACTGTACTCCAGCGTGGGCAACAAGAGCAAAACTCCGTTTCAAAAAAAAAAATCAACCCTGAGGCTGGGCACGGTAGCTCATGCCTGTCATCATAGCACTTCGGAAGGCCAAGGCGGGCAGATCACTTGAGGTCAGGAGTTTGAGACCAGCCTGGGCAACATGGTGAAATCTGGTCTCTACTAAAAATATAAAAATTAGCTTGGTATTGTGGCACACGCCTGTAGTCCCAGCTACTCGGAAAGCTGAGGCAGAAGAACCGCTTGAACCTGGGAAGCGAAGGTTGCAGTGAGCCGAGATTGTGCCAGTGCACTCCAGCCTAAGCAACAGAGCAAGACTCTGCCTCAACAACAGAAGTCAGCCCTGACTGGCTCACCAGATGAGAGGCTGTACTCCTCTGTCTTTGGTGCCACCTGAGATGGCAGCAAGTCACCTGGGGCAGGTAGATGGAGGCCTGGCCTACTCAGCAGCTCAGAACTCACCTCCAGGATGAGGTCCCCTGGCACGAGGCCATCAGGACCCTTGGCAGGACTGTCATCCTCCACCTCAGCCACAAACACCCCATGCAGGTTCCCACCACACAAGTGCACCCCAAGCTCCAGCTGGGACTTTTTGATGAAGACAACGCGTGGCTCCAGGGTCTTCTTGTTGGTATCTCCCGCAATCCTTTCAGGAAACAAAACAAAGTTCCTCAACTGTGCACAAGGAGGGAGGAGGCACAAAAAGACAAAGCAGTGGCCAGTGTCTTAATCGCTTTCTGCCTGCTTCCTGGGTTCTCAGAACCACAGGGAGCTGAGAGGTGGCCGCCAGTTCTACTGGCTCGGCGTTCAGGGCAGGATGCTGAAGTGCACTGGAGATGAAGGCAAGACCCCAGGTCCAAAGTCAGTTGAGTGGGGAGTCAAAACCCAGGCTCCCAGGCCCGGCTATCAATCTCATGCCTTAGAGATCAGGATGGCCTCCCTCCCATGGGGATCACACCCATTTTCCTTAGTTCTTCCTAAGGAAAGGTAAAGTTGGCCTCACTGTCCAGAGCACAGCAACGCATTCAGCAAATGTCTACCAAGCAACTTCTATAGACCAAGGAACTGCTAACTTGTGAAGAGGAGCCCCTTGCCATCAAGGCACTTACAATCAAGGGAGGGAAGCTGAAAGTAAGCTGCTGAACACATGGAGGGAGAGAGATGGGACAGCGATGGAAACAGATAACAAGAGGGCTTCAGGGGAGATGCCAGCCTGGGAGGAAAATCTTGCAGCAGGTAAGTTCCCAGTGACAAACTCTGGTAGAGAGAATGCAGAGCTGGCCTCATTCTGTGAGATGCTGCCCAGGGCTTAGTGAAGGCCTCTCAGTGCTGGAGACACAGCTCCTCCAGGACTGCAGAGTGATCATGTCACACCCTGGCCTGGATGGCCCTCCCCACAGCCCCAGGCCAGGCTGGACGCTGTGCAGCTCCCACGGGGCTCCTTCCTCCTCCTGAACTCTGCTGCTCCCTTGGCCTGGACTTGCCCACCCCTGGCTCTTGCCTGTCCTGAACATTTTAATCCAGCTGCCACCTCCCCTGCCACACTCCAGTGATCTTCCTGCGCGGCGGCCAGCAGTTTTGACTGTGCTGCACACTGTGCCTGGCACTGGTCTGCCACCTCGTTGAGGGAAGCACTGCTGTGGGTGGCCAGAGTCCAGGGCCTGGCGGGGTGACGACTGTGGGAATGTGTCCAAAGACAGACTCAGAAAGCGAGTGAATGAGAAAAGGAGAAGAGAAAGAGAAGATGCAGGGGAAAGAACAAGTCAATTAGAAAACAGGAGAAAAAGAGAAAGGAAAAGAGAGCAGGGAGGGAAAAAAGGAATGCTGTGCTCCCAGCCCAATTCCTGAAGACCTGGTGTGTGGCCTGCAGCATATGAGGCCAGCTGCCCAGTGCCCACGCCACTTGGAGAATGTGCTCAGCCCCACCCAGCCGAAGTGGACACAGGGAAGGCTCACAGCACACATCTGCTGACCTGGAGCTGCTCTGCTTGGCTGGGGGGGTGCTAGGCCCCTCGTCCTGCTCCATCAGTGGGTCAATGACAGAGGGATGCTCCGGGGTGGTGGTGCCGCTGCCCTGGAGAGTGGAGTGGGTACCGGCAGGGTCCAGGTGTGAGCTGGAGACGGAGGACAGGAGGGATAAGGAGCAGTATAAAGATACCCAGAGCCACCCCCGCTCCTGTGGCAACTGGGTCTGAGCTATAAATGGGGACCGGGTCACACAGCCCTGCACCCTGTGCCCTGAGCAGAACAGACACATTAGAAGCCTGGACCCATGACATCCACCCCAAAGCATCCACCTGTCCTCTCCCCTCCACCTGTCCTCAGCTCAGGGGCCCCCTCCAAAGGCATCTGGCCTCGGGGAGCTGTGCGCGTCCTGTCCCTTTTCCTCTGCCTGTGCATCCCATCTCTCCTGCTGAGCTTGTGACGCAGCACTGCCGGGCGTGCCTCCCCTTCTTTTCTGCCCTTCCACCCACAACTCAGGGGCAGATACAGACAGGTGTACAGCGTCTGCTCCTGGACAGGGAGCCAAACACTTTGAGTGAGAATCCACCCCCAGGGCCACAGCTCCTGGCTACCACAGGCCGCTGCTGTTCAAGGGGACCACAGCCATCTGTTTTCACACCCCATTTCAGGAGAAGACAGCCTCTCTCTATATGCCCCTTTTCCAAAATCCAGGGCTGGTCAATTCTCTCTTTAGCAGCAGTAGGATCCTCAGAACTTGCAGCTGTCACCCTGAGTCTCCCTGCAATGAGTGGAGTGCTGCCACACCCACCTCTCCACCCTCAGCCCAGACGGCCCGGGGAGGCCCACGCTCACCTGGACCGAGAGTGGCTGCTGAGCTGGTGCACGTGGGGGTTGTACTGGGCCAGGATGGTGATGGTATCACACTGCTGCCCGATGATGAGCCGCGCCTGCTGCTCCGTGGCGCTCCGCAGGTTTATGCCATTGAACTGGGGAAACATCAGGAGGGGCTCAGTGATAGAGTCAGGGCTGTGGACAGGGAGGAGGCCCTAGGGACTTGGGAGCACTGTGGTTCCCTAGGAGGAGGAGGGGGGAAGAAGGGCAGGTTTCCATGGGCGCCATGCAAGAGGGCAGCTCCCTCTCACCTCCAGTAACTGATCCCCGTACTCCAGGCCAGCCTGGTGAGCGATGCTCCCCACGGTCACCTTGGAGACATAGATGCCACCCTTCTCTCCACTCACGATGGAGATGCCCAGTGGCTCTGAGCCCTTCTGCACCTTCACGTGGCGTGGCTCCTCCACATAAGGCCTAAGGAAAAGTCAAAAGTTTCGGGGACTCAGGGTCAAACAAAAGGGTTGGGGAGAGCCTGAGTTCTCCAATCAGGCAGTGCAGAAAGGGCCCCAAGCCTGGATGCTCCCATTGTGACACAGCTACATGGGGACACGGTGGGCCTACCCCTGTGTAACAAAGGACCACATTCCCACAGCCTCACGCAACACGAGCCAGCACACCCAGACACGCAACCACCCAGGCCAAAGACACAGAGAACGATCTGTGTGAACTATCAACAATAATACACGCAGATTTTCATTATAGGAGAGAAGCTGCCCCACAATATGCAATTACAAACTCCGGGGGGCTCGAGATGCCCTCCGAGGAAAAGAGATGGCTCTTGGGATGACATTCCATCCTGAGGCGGCAACAGAAAATAATCCATTTTTATGTTTACTGGCTACACAGAGTGATGCAAACTGGTCATGGAAATTAAGCCGCTGCAGACCCAAGCCTTTGTAAAGGGAGGAGGCAGCTAGGAGCAAGGCTGCAGTCATGCACTTGCTGCCCTGGGGCTGTCCAGTGTACCCAAGGGCACTGGGGCAGGGGCTCGGTGGGGAGCCTCTGGGCAAGCCAACCGCATGGTGGAAGGCCTGGGCCTGGTGGCCACGGGCAGCCTCAGAAGAGATCTGTGGTGGCAGAGACATCTGGAAGGTGACAAAGGTTAGAAAGAAGGGACGCTCAGAGGAGAAAGACAATCAGAGACACCTGGAACATAACGGAAAAGACAGTCGAGTGATGCGGAGCCTCCCGTCGGGACTTCACGCCGCCCAGGGCCTCATTCCTCCAGGGTGTGGACACCTGAGCTTTTCCTCACAGGATAAAACCATATAGCCAAAGGCTGAGGGGGCCAGTCCAGGTCCCCTCTACAGCACATGGTCGGGATAGATTCCAGCAGGGAGGCACCTAAACCACCCCACCCCAGCCACCTGGAGGCAGAGCAGCTTCCCGATTGGCACTCTCAGCCTGCGGCCCTGTGGCCCAGCCCTCTTGGGAAGAGGAGATTAAAATTATTCTGGAGGTGTCCCTGCTCTCTCCCACCCTCCAAAGTGTTCCCACTTCCCAAACTTGCCCACTCTAGAAGTCCTCCCTTGACCCTCCAGCTCAGACAGATCCACCCCAACCTACACCCACAGTCCCTTTCGATGCAACACAGATTAGAGCCCCGTGCTGTGGACAGCTGCAGAGCCCTCAGCACACAGCCACCCCCAGATCACCCTCCTGCTCCAGCCTTAGATGATGAAATAGAGACCCAGAGCAGAAAGAGGTCCACCTCCATACAACAGGTGTTATCACAATAAAGGAGCAAGCGACTAAGTCACAGCAATAGCCACACGACAGAATGACGTGGCTATTCTGTCAGAAGCAGGTTCTCAGGTTCCAGCGACATGCAAAGATGTAAGGGACGCACCACGGGGTGGGGAGGCCCGATCCGCATCATTTCAGTTATATTTATCTGCATCTGCATACACAAGTATGCGTGGATTTATGCACAAGGAGGCTTCTTACGCAGGACATTACCAAGTGTTAACAATGGTGTCTCCAGGTGAGGGGATCCGAGATAATCTTTTTTTCTTTCTTTTTTTTTTTTTTTTTGGAAACGGATTCTCGCTCTGTCACCCAGGCTGGAGTGCAGTGGCATGATCTCAACTCACTGCAACCTCCACCTCCCAGATTCCAACAATTCTCCTGCCTCAGCCTCCCAAGTAGCTGGGATTACAGGTGTGCACCATCATGCCCAGCTAATTTTTGTTTTTAGTAGAGGCAGGGTTTCACCATGTTGGCCAGGCTGGTCTCAAACTCCTGACCTCAGGTGATCCGCCCATCTCAACCACCCAAAGTGTTGGGATTACAGGCATAAGCTATCTCGCCTAGCCGGAGATAATCTTTACTTTTTAGTCTTCTGAATTATTTGAATTGTTTATAATATGCAAAGTTTTCTCTAAACAATAGCTGCTTCTCAAAAGAGGTTTATAAAGTATACTTAAACTATTACAAATAGCTAAAAACATAACATTAAGGGAGATGTAATTATGTACATAAATAATAAAGCATGTAATATATATACATACATATTTCCAAAGGGTAAAGGCAATTGAATCTCTTGTTGAAGAGATTATCTGTGACTTTTTTCTTCTCTCTACTTGTCTGCTTTTTATTTTTTGAGACGGAGTCTTACTCTGTCACCCAGGCTGGAGTGCAGTGCCGTGATCTCAGCTCACTACAACCTCCGCCTCCCGGGTTCAAGCAATTCTCCTGCCTCAGCCTCCCGAGTAGCAGAGACTACAGGCGCCCGCCACCATGCCTGACTAATTTTTGTATTTTTAGTAGACATGGGGTTTCACCATGTTGGCCAGGTTGGTCTCGAATTCCTGACCTCAGGTGATCCACCTGCCTCAGCCTCCCAAAGTGCTGGGATTACAGGCATGAACCACCGCACTCGGCCTTCTTCCTACCTTTCTATGTCCCCGATTTTCCATAACAAGTATAAAATACTATACTTCAGAATCTGGGAAACGGGGCTATTTTTAAAAAGGAAGCTGTTGCTCAGTCAGGTCACACATGTCAAATTTCATCTCCAATCGGATCCTAACCACCATGAGGGCAGGAGTCACTCACATTTTTCTCCCTTCTGGAGCAGGTCCTGGCTCTCCGTGCCCTGCAAGGAGCTAAGGGAATGCCTGACGGTGGGTGGCAAGGCCCTTTCCACAACTGAAGAACCCACTTCACTTGGGGAAAGTCCCGTCCTCTCCGTGGCCAGGGCCGGGGCTGAGTAAAACAGGCCAGCATGCTCCTGCACGTGCCACATGGTAAGAGCTCCGTCAGCACTTCCTATGAGTTACACCCAATTCCCCTATTGGGGCCGGGCCGCTGTGTTTTGGTGTCCTTCCGTTACCCCTCAGGTTCTCTGGTTTGTTGCCTTTTAAGTTCAGATTTTCAAGTCAAATATAAGATTTTCTCTGGCTGGGCGCGGTGGCTCACGTCTGTAATCCCAACATTTTGGGAGGCCAAGGCCCACGGATCACCTGAGGTCAGGAGTTCAAGACCAGCTTGACCAACATGGTGAAACCCCGTCTCCACCAAAAATACACAAATTAGCCAGGCGTGGCGGTGGGCGCCTGTAATCCCAGCCACTCGGGAGGCTGAGGCAAGAGAATCACTTGAACTGGGGAGGCGGAGATTGCAGTGAGCCAAGATTGCACCACTGCACTCCAGCCTGGGGGACAAGAGCAAAACTGTCTCAACAACAACAACAACAAAAAAGATTTTCTTAATATAGGGCCCACCCATGCTGAGGCTCCTAGCTACAGAGGCCTCAGCTTTCTGGATTCAAATGAACGAGAGTAGCTGTGTTTCTTTTGGTGATTAAATAAAGTTTAATTTTAATCAGAGCTCTTTAAGATCTACAATCTGGACAGAAGCTATTAAATATAAACACAATCTAGTAAGTTTCGTCTAGGGGAACAACACAGAGGGATGTGTGTGCATAGTGCGCAGGGGGGACGGACTCCACAGAGGAGGTGCCTCTGGACAGACAGCAAGCCTACAGTCAACCTGAAACCTAAGATGGACCTGCATTCTAAAATGAACCAGTAAAAAGCTAGGCTGTACATTTATGCTTTATACACTTTCTTCCTGTGTATATTTTATTTCATAACAGAAAGCTTCGAGTGAGAGGGAAAAGCAAAGGGTAAGAATGAGTCCCGGTGCCAGCCGCTAACCACGTGGCCACAGGTCTGTCACTCCAACGTCTGGATCCAGTTTCCTCAACTGTGAAACAGGGATAACAATAATAACGACACTGACAAGGTCCCTGGAAGAATCTCGTGACTTAGCCACATGTAAAGTGCTTGAACAAGGGCCCAGGACGGTGTAAACGGTGCCATGATGGCACAATCACCGTCAGGTCGTTTCCAGCATCATCTACTGTGAGCCCACTGGGCTCCCTGCCTTGCCATCCACACGTGCCCCACCTCCCTGCATCCAGTGCCCTATGGCACTTACTGGTGATACCGGCAAACGCTGGGACACCCAAGCTACTCCTGCTGCTTCTACTAAGCCCCTTCCCTGCAGAGCCCGGGCCCGCCGCCAGGGTGCACACTGTCCACTGGTTTACCCACGCCACCGATGACTGGCCACACTCACCTGTCCTTTCTCCGCTCCCCGAGGGAGGCGGGGTTGACAGCGATTCTGGGCAATGTGGAGGCTGAGGCCTGGGACTGGCTACAAGAGGACAGGGTGTCGATGTTCAGGGGTGACTGCGGAGGAGTGCTGCATTCAGAATGTGACACTGAACCTGCAGAGAGGAGCAGGTAATGCCGTTGTGAACCCCCATCTCACTTCCCCAACAGCCAAGATCAAGAGGCAGCTTATCCCCACTGCATTGCATAGTCTGGAGTTCGATGCTGGGCTCTGCGTTGCCCCCTACCTCCCACATCACCAGGCCTACTGCTGGGTTCAGTGAATTTTTACTGACTGACTGAGATGACTATGAAGTTCTCAGCTAAGCCCAGAGACTCCACCATGAGGAATCAGACTGCAGGAAAAGCAGGACAGATGGGAGTGTCCAGAAGTCCTTACCTCTGTCAGAGCCCACGACAGACCGCGGATATCTTGGTGTTGATGGGATTTTAATGCGTTCCGCCTTGAATTGCAAGTTACTCGAAGAACCTATTGTTCCATATGGGAACAAAACTTCAGGCCTTGTGGTTAAACACCACCCTGTCCTCCCTCTCCACCAGGCTACCAGTCAGGATGATAAACGCAAAGCTGGGCCCTGCTGTTTACTCCCAAGGGAGCCTTGATGTGGAACAGTCAGGAAAAGCAGACGTTTAACATTTATCTCAATAAACTGTGCAGGCACAGACTGCTCCAGAACAGAGGCACACAAGTCTCACTTCCAGCCACGGAACAGCAGCCTAAGTGACACAGCGGCGGCTCCATCTGCTCCCCCAAGATCGCCAAGGGCTACCTCTGTCTGACTCTCCTCTGGGGTTCACTTTCCATACAAAAATGTATGAAGAGCCATAAAAAACAGTCCAGAATGAGGCCAACAACCTCAGGGACAGGGAGCAAGGCTCCTAGCTGAGCGATCACCTGAATGACCACAAGGGCCCCACAGAAAGCAGAAGGCGAAAACAATGGCTCTGACAGCAGCATGGGCATCGCTGGCCCGTGAAGGAAGCAGCCCTTCCCAGTAGGGAAATGAGCTCAGTCCCAGGAGGTGACAGGAGCTCGTGTGGGGAGCCCACCCGCAGATCTGGACATTAGGATGCAGGCAGAGATGAAAAGCTTGGCACCCGCGGCAGCACAAAGTCCAAATGGTGCAGTTACCGAGGCGGGCGCTGGAGGGCAGTGAGTTGGACCCGTGGGTGGCTCTCATCTCAGAGTAGTCGCTGCAGGCCCTGTGGCTCAGGTCCAGGCTCAGGCGTCCCTGGTGCTGGACACTGCATAAAAACAAGAGGTGAGGAGTTCCGGAAGAGAAACAGATACAGATGTGGCCACTGGGAAGAAACACACAGACCAGCCAAGGCTTCCCAAGCAGGCAGAAGGGAGGCCCAGGAGCCACTGATGATTGGCCAAGGATAGCCTTCAAGCAGTAGAAAAGGCCACACACATGGGGTGGCCAGTGTCATACCCACTTCAGCCATGGGGTCAGGATTAGGCTCACTAGGAGGAAGCGATAAAAAACAGAGGCTCTGGAACCTGGGTGGGCCCGGGGAGGGGGAACCTATTCTCCCAGGAAGCGGGTAAGGAGGGACAAGATGGGCACAGAGGACTTTGGGGAGGGGACCTATGTGCCTCACTCAGGACAGTGTGCCCAGGAAACTGGACGGCAGAGCAGGGATCGCCCACGTCAGGCTGCCCTGAGGCCAGGCCTCAACAGCGTCTTTTTCTGGCTATGCAATGAGATGACATCTCTTCCCTGCTTAAACTCTCCAGTGGTCTCCACTGTCCTTAGAATAAAATCCAAACTTTTTATCACGGCTGCAGGTCCCTGTGACCTCAAACCTCTTCCTGACTCGCTGTCCCTTTGCCAAGCTCCCACCACTGTGCGCGGGTACCCTGGCCTTGGCACTGATGGCCCTTCTCCCTGGAGGCTCCAGTCCAGGTCTTGTGCGGCTGGCCTCTTCCCTCCTTCTGGTCACAGCAGCATCCCCTCTGCCACACGACCCTTTCTGACCACCCACTCTAACTTGCCACCCTCTTCCAAGTCACAGCCCAGCCTGTCACCCTGTTTGACCACCTTCGTAGCCTCTCGTCACCATCTGATATCACTTCGTTCATTTTTTTTCTGTCTGCCTCCCACATTTGTAAAACCACACCACATGAGCTGGAAGCTAATCTGTTTAGTTCAGCATTGTATTCTCTTATAATTAGGATAGACAAAGGCATGCAGTAGGTGCTCAAAAAAAATCTGTCAAATGAATGAGTAACAGTGGCCTGGAGCCAGCCCACCCTCTTATGAAGTATCAGTTTCCTCATCTTGAAGACAGAGACAGTAACAGGACTTACTTAGCCCACGAGGTTGCTGTTGATTCGGTGAAATGATATTCATAAAGGTCTGGGCACAGTGGCTGGGACATAAGCACTCAAATATCAGTTGCTATCACTATCGTGTCCTTCAGTACCTTTTGAAACCTTGTGCTGATTAATTCAGAAAGCAGCCCTAAGGCTCCCTTCCCTGTGCTGCTCTAGCCAGCCCCTCCCAGTCACGCAAGGAAGCTTCTCCACCAGTGAGCCTCTTTATGCACCAGTGGTTCCATGTCCTGGCGGGCTTGGGCAGCTGGGGTAGAGAAGCGTAAGGTGTCTTCACATACCTGGGATGCAAACCCTGGGGGCCAGCATCTCGGGCCGCAGGTGGAGAGCTGCAGGGGCCAACCCTGTGGCTACGCACAGTGTAGATGGGGTTCCGCAGGATGGAGCTCACGGTGGTGCTGGGGGTCAAACTCCGGGGAACAGTGCCTAGAAATGCGCTTGGTGAGAAGAGTCGCCCCAAAGGACCCAGCCAGCCCTGGACTTAAACAAGCCTTTTCCCTGTATCCCAGGACACAGCCCCAGTCTTTTGGGAAAAGGACTTGGGAGATGAGTTTTAACCATCAATTCACAATGTGGCTGTGGCTCCTGGCCTGTCTCCATCTGTAAAAAGTGGGGAAGTCTCTTTCATGCTTCCTATTTCCCAGGGGAGAAAGCATTTTGACAAGCTTAGACATGTCATGGCTACAAGACAAACCATCCCAGACAGGGCAGCATTTCCCAGTTCCCTGGACCTCAGGGCTGAAAAGTCATGGCAGCTCTCTGAAATGCTGCCTCCCCTCTCCCTGGAGACTAGGCATCCCGAGTTTACACCGACCCTCAGCCCCAGCCCCTGGCTGGCTGACTCACCCACAGACGGCCTGCTAGGGTATAGCGGGGGGTTGCTATGCCGGCTGGAATGCCCAGGTGAGTAAGGTGCCCACTCCTGGAGCTCCGGGGAGAGTTCTCCACTGGCTGGGACACACTTCTGTTCCTGCAGATTCAAGAGCAAGAGTGTCTGCTAGAAAGAGTGGAGAGTGGCTGGGCACTGTGGCTCACACCTGTAATCCCAGCACTTTGGGAGGCCGAGACAGGCGGATCACTTGAGGTCAGGAGTTTGAGACCATCCTGGCCAACATGGCGAAACCCCATCTTTACTAAAAATACAAAAATTACCTGGGCATGGTAGTGGGTGCCTGTAATCCCAGCTACTTGGGAGGCTGAGGCAGGAGAATCGCTTGAACTCGGGGGGCAGCAGTTGCAGTGAGCCAGGACTGCACCACTGCACTCAGGCCTGGGTAACAGAGCGAGACTCCGTTTTGGGGAAAACAAAAAAAAACAAACATGAAAACAGTAGAGCGCTTGGGCAGCTCTGCAAGCCAGTTTCTGTCCCAGGAACCAGCTCCTCCCACTGGGGCACAGGAGGGGACAGCTGGAGAGAAGTGTTGCCCATTCATGTTGCTTTACACATCTGCAAGGGAGCAGCTTTACTTCAGAAGAAAACCACAGAGAATGAATCTTTCACATAGAGATCATGTAAAAGGTGAGAATGCACACGTGTATCAGGCACATACAACTCTGTCTGATGTGCAGGCCTGTGGGAAGCTCTCTGTCCCCAGTGAGCAGTGTGGACTGGTGCCTGAGATGCTTTCCACAGTCCCCAGCAATCTCACTCTTCTGGAAACTATGACAGCACACACAATAAGGCCGTCCTGCTGCCCACTCAGCCTCACATGTGCCACCTCATCTCCCTAGCCCTTCAAGGCAAGTCCATGCCCTAGGTTTTATTGTTTAAGTTCAAAAGCTTCTTACTAAAAAAGCAAACCAAATGCTATGCCCAAGAAGGTGTTCCCCTCTTGTGTCACACTCCCACTACCACGCATTTCCACTCCACTTACCTACCTCCTAGCTGGGCCACTTCCCACTTGAGTCCAAGAGCAAAGGCAAAGGTACCAGGCTAAACAGGAGCCTGGAACACTGGTGCAGGGCCACTCAGCAGCCCTCCTTTGGCCAACTGTCCCCCCAGGCCTCCCCCTCCCTGCACCCTGGGGCTCAGCACTACCTCCAGGAACTGAGCAGGAATCACTACTGGAGCAAGCTTAGGCCGAAAACTGGGAGCAGATTTTGGCCGGCGACGCTTCTGCCCCAGCTCGTCCACCTTCTGGGAGGTGAGGTCCTCATCACAGGATTTCTTGGCCGGCAGGTAGGAGGAGTCCCCATCTCCTTCAGGGTAGTAGCTGGAAGCGATGCGGACCCTGGCCTTGCGAGGGGGTGATGCGTGCATGGGCTCCCCGGGGTCCACATCGGGGGGCAGGGCACTTGGGGGACTAGTGGATGGGGAGCTGCCCACCAGAGTGGCCTCTGACTCGGAGCTAGTCTCCAGCCTGTGCTGGAACTTAATGGAGTCGCTCCTTCTGGGAGGTTTTGGGGGTGTCAGAGGCCCTGCCCTCTTGGAGGGCTGGGGAGAGTGAGCAGGCCCAGGACCTGGCAGCAGGTAATCTATTTTAGGGGGTGTCTGGGGGCGTTTGAAAGTGTTAGGGTCAAAGATGGACTTTCTTTGCTTTGGCTTCTTATAAACGGAGAGCTTCTCAGGCGCTGCCGTGGAGCTGAGCACGGCCTTGGGCCAGGTCCCACCACTGTTGGAGCCTTCAGAGTCCACCTTGTCCAGGGGGGCCTCCCCAACCCCACAGGGGCCCACCTCTGTCTCAAAGGGCAGCAGTGGCCGCCGGCTACGCACATCCACCAGGCCAAAGCCACGGTCCCCAGAGGCATCTGAGCGGAAGGAGCTCAGGCTACGCTCAGAGGCACTGGGACAGGCCTGGGGGCAGACCTGCAAGGGTCCCCCAGGGAATGGCTTGTGCAGAAAGGAGCTGCTGCCTCCTGGGGGGCCTGGCTCCTTCCTGTCTTCCAGCCTGTCCGTGTAGAAGATGTCTGTCTGCGTGGAGTTATTGTGCTGTATCAAATTCCGTTTGTTATGAGCCTGGACTTCCGGGCCATGGGCTCGAAAACTCAGCATCTTATCAGAGTCTTTGATATTTTCAAAAATGTTCTGGCCACTCCACGAGGAGCTCTGAGGGAACACCTAGGCAGGGATTGCAGAGGAGTGAGAGAGAAAGTGAGATGGCAGGACTTGGAGCTGCCACTGAAAACTGTCCCCACAGGTAAAGCAATGGTCAGGAATGGGCCACCTGCCCCTTAAAAAAGAGACAGGTAGACAGAGACGCACATACACACAAACACATGTGCTTCTTCCTAATGGAGAAGTTTTCTCATGGCCTTGGTCACTCTGAACTCAAAGAAGAGTCAAAGTTTTATTAACTTTGAACACTTTCTGAAATCACCTGGGCTGGGCACGGTGATTCATGCCTGTAATCCCAGCACTTTGGGAGGCCGAGGCAGGCAGGTCATGAGGTCAGGAGTTCAAGACCAGCCTGACCAATATGGTGAAACCCCATCTCTACTGAAGTTATAAAAATAAGCCAGGCACGGTGGCATGCACCAGTAGTCCCAGCTACTTGGGAGGCTGAGGCAGGAGAATCACTTGAACCCGGGAGATGGAGATTGCAGTGAAGTGAGATCACACCACTGCACTCTAGCCTGGGTGACAGAGCAAGGCTCTGTCTCAAAAAAAAAAAAAGGAAATCACCTGCATAATGTCTTGAGTATTTTTTTAAATATTAAACATAAAAGTAAAAATTCATTGTTAAAAATATATCTCTTGTGGTACACCCAGACAACAGAATATTAATTAGCACTAAAAAGAACTGAAACGACGTGGAGGAACCTTAAGTGTATATTAGCAAGTGAAGAAGCCACTCTATATACTCTGTGATTCCAACTCTATGGCATTCTGGAAAACACACAAGCCTGGAGGCAGTAAAAGGATCAGTTGTTGCCAGGGGCTTGGATAAATATGGGGAGCATAGGGAATGTTTACAGCAGTGAAACTACTGTGTATGATATTATAATGGTGGTACATGTCATTACCTGCATCAAAACTCACAGAAAATACACCACCAAGACTGAACCTTAAAGTAAACTATGCATTATAGTTAATACTAATGCATCCACATTGGCTCGCTAATTGTAACGCATGTACTAACTACACTAATGCAAAATGCCAAAATTGGGGAAACTTAGGGACAGGAGTGGGGATGGTGGTGGTGGGGTGGTTGAGAGAGTACTAAGAATTCTGTATCAGCCCAACTTTTCCATAAACATAAAACTGTTTCCAAAAAAAAGTCAATTAATTTGAAAATAGTTAATTTAGAAAATATCTCTTAATAGAAAGTTAGAAAAAATAGGCCCAGCCATTTCATTAAGAGATGTTTTCTAAATTGGGCCTATTTTTTCTAACTTTCTATTATTAAACTTTTCAAATATGTAGAAAAGTATAATAAATGTCCATAAATGTACCATGTAGATTCAACAATATTTCACTAAATTGTCTTTTTGCCTGTATCTATAATGATACTACAGAACATTGGAAAGCAAGTTACGAAGATCATGACATGTCACTTCCCTTCCTTTTTCTTTTTTTTTTTTTTTTTTTTTGAGACGGAGTTTCGCTCTTGTTACCCAGGCTGGAGTGCAAAGGCATGATCTCAGCTCACTGCAACCTCTACCTCCTGGGTTCAAGCGATTCTCTTGCCTCAGGCTCCTGAGTAGCTGAGATTACAGGAATGAGCCACCATGTCCGGCTATTTTTGTATTTTTAGTAGAGATGGGGTTTCTCCATGTTGGTCAGGCTGGTCTTGAACTCCCGACCTCAGGTGATCCACCTGCCTCCCAAAGTGCTGGGATTACAGGCATGAGCCATCGCGCCCAGCCCCTTCCTTTCATTTTTGAGACAGGGTCTCACTTTGTCACCCAGGCTGGAGTGCAGTGGCACGATCACGGCTCACTGCCACCTCGACCTCCTGGGCTTTTTGTATTTTCTGTAGAGGCAAGGTCTTGCTGTGTTGCTGGGCTCAAGTGATTCGACTGCCTTGGCCTCCCAAAGGGTTGGGATTACAGACATGAGCCACCATGCCTGGCCATGACACATCACTTCTAACAACTTTAGTTTGTACCTCCCCCAAATAAGGCCATTCTCCTGTATAACAACCCCAGTGCCATCATCATACCTAGGAAAATTGGCAACAATTCCTTAAGGCCATCTAATTATCAAGTCCAGATTCAAATGTACCCAACTGTGCCCAACATGGCCTTGATTGCGGTTTTTTGATTGCAGGCCAGCGTCCAGTCAGGGTTCCTGCCCCCACTGCACTCGGTAAATCCCCACCCTGTTCTCAAGGATCCTGTGACCCTGAGGAGTAGCGTGGCTGTGTGGAGTCAGGGCTTTGCCCATACTCTTGACTATGAGAGCGGAGCCACGTCTAGCCCTTACCTTCAGGAGGGACAGGGTCAGGGAGTCCTGGCAGCTCCGCAGCAGAGATTCACATTCATTCAGAGACTTGTTGTCCAGTGCAATGCCATTGATCTAGAGCAGGACAGACAGCACGTCAGGCCACAGGCAGAGCGGCCTCAGGCCTACCAGGTTGGGGTCTCTGCCCACCTAACCTCCTGTGCTAGACAGTCACCAAATGCAAGGTGCCAAAGTCAGGAGTTGGCAAAGGATAGAGGTCCTCCTGATGAGGCTCAAGGAGTCCAGCTAAGGGGTTTCTGAGGTAGAGGAACACAAAAGCCTTCACAGCAGGCTGGGGGAGAAACGTGTCCTTCTGGGATCAGAACACCGAGGACCTGGAGGGAACATCTTGGCCTGGCTGTGCCCTGCCATGTGGCACGGGACCTCGGCTCAGAACTTCCCAGCCTCTTGCCTCCACAGAGGAAATGGAAGATAAATGCATGCATGTGGCTCGGGAAAGCAGGGGGACTAAAAACAAGACCATGGATAGGAAAGGCCTTGTAGAGAAAGTACCACATGAAGTGGGGCCCTGTGAGTGTTCACAAAGAACCTCTCAACCCTGCTCCCGGAATCTCTGCCCACATCCCTCACAGCTATGTGCAGACCTTCTTAAGAAGTGTAGGTGCAATAGGTGAATGACTAAACTGTGATACACCCACATTGCAGAGCACTGCTCAGCAATGATAAGGAACGAGCGGCCGGCACACGCAGCCTCTTGGGTGGATCTTGGCGGCATGGTGCGGAATGAAAACAGCCCAGCTCCAAAGATCACATACTATATGATTCCATGTCTGTAACATTCTCAAAAGGACAACATCACAGAGATGGAGAACAAATCAGCTGCCAGGGGGCAGGGATGGGAGGGAGCAGGGGGTGTTACTACAAATGGACAGAGGGAGGGAGACCTCAGTGCTGATGGAACAGCTACGCATCTTCATTATAGTGGTGGTTACACAGAACAACATGTGTTAAACCACACACAACCACACACACACACACAGTACCAATGTCAATATGCTAGCTTTGATATTATACTCATGCAATGTGCAACCATGAGGGGAAGCAGGGAGAAGAGTACATAGGAAACCCCTGTACTATCTCTGCAGCTTCCTATGAATCTATAATCATTTCAAAGTCAAGTTTTCTTTTTTTTTCCTTTTTTTTTTGAGATGGAGTCTCGCTCTGTCCCTCAGGCTGAAGTACAGAGGCATGATCTCGGCTCACTGCAACCTCCGCCTCCCAGGTTCAAGCAATTCTCCTATCTCAGCCTCCCGAGTAACTGGGATTGCAGACGCATGCCTCCATGCCTGGCTAATTTTTTTCTATTTTAGTAGAGACAGGGTTTCACTGTGTTGCCCAGGCTGGTCTTGAACTCCTGAACTCAGGCAATCCACCCACCTCGGTCTCCCAAAGTGCTAGGATTACAGGCGTGAACCACCACGCCTGGCCAAAGTCAAGTTTTCTTTTTAAAATATCTGCAGAGTGATTATCTTGAAGTAGTAAATTAATTTGTGGTTTTTTTCCTTATAACATATCCACATTTACAAATTTTTCATAATGGCCATATAGCTTGGATACTCTGGCTCCCCCAAAAATCTGAAAAACACTGGCAAAGATGTGAGGCAATGAGTTCCCCACACACTGCAGGGAGGACTGAAAAAGCCATGACCTTTTTGGAGCAAAGGGGGAAGATCTCACTGGATGTTAAACATTCATGCCCTCTGACCCAGCAAACCCTCACCCCAGGAATGTACCCCAGGGCACACTCTTGGGTCCCTATGAAGCGGCACGCCAGTGGCCATGCAGCACGACACAGATGTAAGTAAAGGCAGAGATGCCCAGACTATCCCTCGGGAGGGACTGATCAACAGCTTAGGCTGCTGTCACTAAGGAATGACATGCAGTTATGGAAATAACCAAGACAGATCTAAAGACGTGAATATGGGCTGGGCATGGTGGTTCACACCTGTAATCCCAGCACTTTGGGAGGCTAAGGGCAGATCATTTGAGGTCAGGAGTTCAAGACTAGCCTGGGCAACATGGTGAAACCCCCATCTCTACCAAAAATACAAAAAAACTAGCAGGGCTTGGTGGCACAGGTCTGTAATCCCAGCTGCTCAGGTGGCTGAGGCAGGAGAATCACTTGGACCTGGGAGGCAGAGGTTGCCGTGAGCCAAGATCATGCCACTGCACTCCAGTCTGGGCAATAGAGTGAGACTATCTCAAACAAAAATAAAAATAAAAAGATATGAATATGGAGGGACCTCCAAGACATGCTGCTAAAATCTGGCTGGGTGTGATGGCTCACATATGTAATCCCAGCACTTGGAAAGGCCAAGGCAGGTGGATCACTTGAGGTCAGGAGTTCGAGACCAGCCTGGCCAACATGGCGAAACCCCGTCTCTACTAAAAATACAAAAATTAGCTGGGTGTGGTGGCATGTGCCTGTAATCCCAGCTACTTGGGAAGCTGAAGCAGGATAATCACTTGAACCTGAGAGGCGGAGGCTACAGTCAGCCAAGATCATACCACTGGACTCCAGCCTGGGCAACAGAGTGATACTCCATCTTAAAAAATAATAAAAATAATAAAAATAAAACAAAAAGCAAGATGAGCAATTGAGTATATTATAATCCCATACAGGTTACCCCAACCCCCCAAAAATGTGTGAGACGTACATGTTTTGAAAGTTTCTGGGACATAATATAATAAATTGTTAACAGTGATTGCCATCGGGGTGGGAAGTAGTACACAAGAGGTCTAGCCAGAGGAAGAGTAGTTGTCACTATTTGCCTTTTGTACTATTGGAATTTTGTATGTATGCCATGAAAAAGTGTATGGCATTTTCAGTTTTTATTTTTTATTTATTAGAGACAGGAGTCTTGCTCTGTCACCCAGGCTAGAGGGCAGTGGTGTGATCTCAGCTCACTGCAACCTCTGCCTCCCAGGTTCAAGTGATTCTCCTGCCTCAGCCTCCCGAGTAGCTGGGCTGACAGACATCCACCACCAAGCCCGGCTAATTTTTGTATTTTTAGTAAAGACAGGGTTTCACCATGTTGCCCAGGCTGGTCCCGAACTCCTGACCTCAGGTGATCCACCCACCTCAGCCTCCCAAAGTGCTGGGATTACAGGAGTGAGCCACCGCACCCTGCTGGCATTTTCAGTTTTAAAAGGTTAGTTAGAAGTATTAAATTTGCATGTCCTATGACTCAGCAATCTCATGGCATTTGTAGCTCAGTCTCAGAGATACCATTAGGTGTCTCCAGAGGGTCTATGCACACAGGTAAAGTTAAATGCAGGACTGTTTGCAATTGCAGACCCTGCAAACAACTTCTATGTCCATCGGGGGGGATAATTTATACTACATATAATCAAACAACAAAATACCATAAGGTGGGTAACATTAGCCAGGCTAGACTTGGAAAGATATCCAAGGTAGGATGCAAACTGCAGATCCCATTATTGTACATAAATAGCAAAACAAAACCAAGAAATCTATCTAGGTATATATAGATTTGTAGGGGCACTTATGTGGGCTGGGTACTTATCTTCCAAATGGGGGCAGGGACAATCTCTAGGAGCAGGATTAAAGGGGGAAGGGACTGCCACTTTTCATTTTACATATTTTTGTATTGCTTGGCTATTTTACAACAAATAGGACTTACTTTGGTAACAAAAAAATTTAAAAATAGGTATTACATTTAGTTTTTTTAAAAAAGGGTCGTGTTTAAGTCACAACACAATGATGTCAATTTTTTAAACTGTCCTTGATAAACATTCATGAGAATGTTAAATGTAGAGAACTACATTTAAAATGTTAATAAAGCTGGGCGCTGTGGCCCATACCTGTAATCCCAGCACTTTGGGAAGCCAAGGCGGGCAGATCACCTGAGGTCAGGAATTCGAGACCAGCCTGGCCATCATGGTGAAACCCCATCTCTATAAAAGTACAAAAATTAGCCAGGCATGGTGGCACACGCCTGTAATCCCAGCTACTCAGGAGGCTGAGGCAGAAGAATCACCTGAACACAAGAGTCGGAGGTTGCAGTGAGCCAGGATTGCGCCACTGCACTCCAACCTGGGCGACAGAGCAAGACTCCATATCAAAAAAAAAAAAAAAGAAAAGAAAAAAAGTTAATAAAGGTTATCTACAGGTGGTACGAAAGCAAGTGGTTCTTATTTCCCTCTTAGGCCTTTGGAGGTTGCAGTGAGCTGGGATTGCATCACTGTACTCCAGCCTGAGCGACAGAGAGAGATGGAGAAAGGTTATCTACACATGGTAGCAACGCAATTGATTCTTATTTCCCTCCTAGACCTTTTATTTTCTAATTTTCTACAGTAAATAGAAATATATCATCAAGAAACCTATGTTTAAATGTTCACATAGTACAATGCCCAGAACAAGGAAAATATAAAATCTTTGCTCATTACTTCTTGCTCAAACCTCCCAAATGTAATCTGTCTATGCACAGCAGATGACCCTGGCTCCAGCCTTGAGACTTACCGCAACAATCCTGTCTCCCACAGCAAGGGACCCTTCTTTGGCGGCAGGGCTTCCGGGCAGCACGGCGGCAGCATACACTCCATTCTCCAGACTGATGCCGCTGTCTGCAAGCCACAGGAGGTCACTGGGTAGCCCCTGGCCTCGCTGCCCAGCCCCGGTCACCCTACCTCATCTTTGTTACCATCCTCCCACAAAAGAGGATGTCAGCAGGCTGCACCCTCTCTACCCCTGCACCCTGCCCCAGTCCCACCAACTGGGGGCTCAGTTACATCTGCCCTTACATCTGCCCGGGTAAATCAAACACTCAGAAAGCAAGACTCAGGGCCCAGACAACCTCCTGCCAGGAAAGCACATGGGCTACATTTAAATGGCATCGGCCCCTCATCCCTGTGAATGAGGTACTCTAAGGGGCACCCCTGGCACCTGTCCACAAAAAAGGGCCCCAGCCACCTGAGGCACTCTGCCATGTCCACAGGCCCACTACCTTTCTGTCCACTGAGGTTGATGTGCAGCGGCGTAACCACCTTCCCACCCAGGGACTTCCTCCGCCGCACAACCATGTTGATGGCCCCCTCCCCGTTGAGGAGCGCCTTGATGGCCTGCTTCTTGTCCTTGTTGATGAGGTCTACATCGTTGATTCTCAGCAGCCAGTCATTGACCCTGAGAAGGGGCACAGCCAGTTCAGCACCCACAGAGGCTGTGGGACCAGCGGTTAGCCGCCCACCACTACCATTCAGGGGGCTGACTGCCAAGGAGTGGGTGCCTCACATACACGTTCAGAAAATTTCCTCTTGCAGGAGTGCACATTGGTAAAATTTGCAGATGCTGAGGTTAGACAGCCTGGGTTTAAATCCTGGCCCTACCACTTACTAGTTGTATGATCCAGCCCCTCCAGGCCTCAATGTCCTCATATGTAAAATGGGGGCAATAATCACGCCTATCTTGTAGGGTTGTAAAGACTAATCAATTATTTTCTATAAAGTATTTAAACCAGTACTCAGCAGTCAGCCAGCACTGTAATAGTGTTAGCTATTTTATCATCATGACTATTTCCCTGAATGAGCATGCCATGTACGTCCTGGGCTCTCACACATACCCCCTGAGCACTTTCCCACCCAAAGGAGCAAAAGACAGCACCTGGTAACTAAAGAATAATCAGATTCAGAGGCAACTGAGAAGCACTGTTTCTTTTTGGAGCAGTATTAGCTGCTGAGACTGCAGGCCTTGGACAGATCTCAGGCTGGGAAATGTTCACCTAAGTGCTACCTGGCTCTCTTCGGGTCCTCCGCACTGGGGAGAAGGGCCCCACCTTACCTCCAGGGCCTGGGCCTCAACTCTTACCTTAAGCGCCCATCAGCAATGCTTCCTTTATCCACTTTAGTGACAAATATGCCACAGTCCCCCGGGAAACAAGGCTCATTCACACCTTCTGCCATATCAAACCCCAGTGCCTTCAAGTCAATATCCTCCTGCAAAAACAGCAGCAACAGCAACGCATTTCACAAAGCAGTGACAGAAACATTTGGCTGTTAAGCCCCTGAGCTGCTCACTCCAATGTGGGGGACTGTCCCTTCACCTCATCTGATGAGACACTCCATCCCCAGGATGGAAACCTATGAGTACCTGCAACCTGCCCCTTCTGGCCACTGCACAGACATCCCTGTCAGCATCCCCCCAGGACCCTGCCCTTCCCCGGCTGCAACCCAGCCTGGACAGCTGCCGGGAAAGGATGCTGTCACACTCCTGGGAGGAAAAGGAGAACCTCCAAACTTGTTGAAACTGGGAGATACTGCAAGAGGGTCACCTTCTCCTCCCTCATCCATCAGAGAAGGAGAGAAGAACCATCAGAGGCAGCTTACCGTCTCCCTCTCAAACTCTACAACTTCCGTTTCCCACTCCATGGAATCCGTGTCAATGGCCGAGTCGTGGGAGCTGTGGGCCATCAGCTGCCGGAACCGGGCCTCCTTTTCCAACTGGGATTCCATCTGTTCCCTGTGAAGAGAGAAAGCCACGGTGAAAGCCCCTTGGGAGGTGAAACATCCCACCGCGTAACGGCTCTGAACCTCATGAGGCAGGCAGTTCGTGAGAGCTAAAACAGGTTCCTTTCCCCACTGTTTCCCAATAACTCGGAGAGTCAGGTCAAGGCTTCTGGGGTATCTGTGAGTTTTCACAGTGGTTTTTTTAAAAAAGACAAATTCTCCCCAAATTTATCTAGAGGTTTAACACAATTAAAATCAAAATGCCAGCTGGGCACGGTGGTCCATACCTGTAATCCCAGCACTTTGGGAGGCCGAGATGGGCAGATCACCTGAAGTCAGGAGTTCGAGACCAGCCTGACTGACATGGTGAAACCTCGTCTCCACTAAAAATACAAAAATTAGCTGGGCGTGGTGGCATGTGCCTGTAATCTCAGCTACTTGAGAGGCAGGAGAATTACTTGAAACAGGGAGGTAGAGGTTGCAGGGAGTAGAGGTCACACCACTGCACTCCAACCTGGCGACAGAGTGAGACTCTATCTCAAAAAAATAAAATTTAATTTAAAAAATAAAATCAAAATGCCAACAAGATTTTTTGTAGATACAGATGGCTATTCTAAAATGTATACATAAAGGCATCAGAATTGCTAAAACAATTTTGAAAATGACTAAGTGGGAGGAAACTCTCTATCCAATTTAAGATGTAGTATACAGCTACAGCAATCAAGACAGTGCTGCTGTCAGGGAGACAGACACACAGGTCTGTAGAACAGAATAAGGAACCCAGGAATGCCCCAAGCTACCAAAGGTGCATATGTTAACAGAGGAAGGACAGCCTCCAATTAATGATGCTGGAGCGACTACACATCCATGGCCAAAGAAATGAATCTCAACCTAAATCCCTTAACCTCGGATAAAAGTTAACACCAATATATCACCAACTGAAATGCAAACTGACAGAAGCAGCAACAGAAATGCCACTTAAATAGTTATATTAGGATGAAGACGTAGTTCTTAACATTTCCTTTAATGCCATTGTTACACTTTTAAAAAATGTTCACTGATGGCCAGGCGTGGTAGCTCATGCCTGTAATCCCAACACTTCAGGAGGCCGAGGTGGGTGGATCACTTGAGGCCAGGAGTTCAAGACCAGCCTGGCCAACATGGTGAAATCCCGTCTCTACTAAAAACACAGAAGTCAGGCAGGTGTGGTGACATGCACCTGTAATCCCAGCTACTTGGGAGACTGAGGCACAAGAATCACTTGAACCCAGGAAGCAGAGGTTGCAGTGAGCAAAGACTATACCACTGCACTCCAGCCTGGGCAATAGAGTGAAACTGCATCTTAAAAAAAAAAAAAGATAGGTTTGACTTCATCAAAATTAAAAATACTAGTTCTGAGAAAGACCCAGTAACAAGGATGTGAAAGAGAGACTCAGAAGCCTCATTATATCCTCAGGTGACTGGCCTGTGACACCCTCCCTGAAATCTGGGTCCAGGCTGCCTTGCCAGCTCATGAAAGCTGCCCACTGGGCTCCTGACCTACTTGTGTTTCCTGCTCCAGCAGACAAGCTCCAGGGCCGCACCTCTGCCTAGGCTGTGCTCTCACCAGCCGGCTCTAGAATACCACTCAGCCTCCAGGGCAGAGCTCCAATGCCTTCCAAGCTGCCCCAACCCCTCCCCAGGCTAATGCAGCCGAGCTCAGCATTCAATGCTCCCTATACCTGTCTCATCTAGAATTACCAGGGAGTGCCTGAGGCTTCCCAGGCAGCAACACAGACCCCCTCACCCGCATCCTGCCAATTAGAGAACTTAGCAGACAGGAGGCACAAACGCAAACATGCTGAATGAACACACAAGCTGAATGCACAAGCTTCAGGCAACTCTGGCCCAAACAAGAGGCAAAACATCCCATGTTCACGCCCCAGAGGTTCTAGGCTTTCCCTTCAAAGAGAACTCCTTGATTCCATCACATTGCTAGACCCAAGATGGTCCCTGTGAAGAGTCCTGCCTTGCCTCTTAACTCCTAAAATATTCCTGAGAGCACCCAAGCTCCAGAGAGTCTGGATTTTTACAGAATAAATGGAGCTCTTTGTCTCATTAGGAGTTTTACTGAATGGAAAGAAGAGAAGCTGTCACTCCCTTCTGAAGGGCATCACTTGAGTGTGCAAGGCTTGCACACTTGCACGCACACACGAGCTTCTCACTGCCCCCTCACCACACTAACAGCTAGGGAAATGTCACATAATGGATGGAGAGCCACTGCTTTCCAACTAGATTTGGGTTTTAGACCATGGCCTATTGGGCTCTGCCAATTTCTATGCTTAAACCCTGATCTTTGTATTTCAATGCACTACTAAAGGCCACTGAATGTTTAAATGACACCCTGGGAGGCTGCTGTAACCAAGGGGAGGATGTCTGATACCCCAAACAGTCTTCCAAATGGGCATCCAAATAACACAGGCAGAACAGACTGCTGGATGGGGGTTGCAATTGCCTTTAAAACTCTAAATCACAATCTGTCATCATTTTACTCATTGATTTACTTGTCTCTTAGATGGACCCAACCTTGGTCTGTGTGCACTGTGAGCCCATGAGGAAAGAGACTTGATATGCTTGTCAGTGCCATTTCTCCAGTGCCTCTAATGGAGGCTGGCCCATACAGAGCAGGTACGTGAAAAATCTCAGCGAGTGAGTGAGTAGGGGAATGAATGAATGGGTAACACATGCATGCCTGCCCCGAATGGACTGCTTGGGAACAGGGCCCTCCCTTCCTAGTGCCTTGGCACACAGTGCCTGCCCTGTGTCTAAGAATTTCTGGCCTAAGAATTTCTAATTAACCCAACATGGAGATAACATTCAACCCCATTCTACAGACTGACAGAGCAAGACAGAGTGAAGTGAAGGGACAAACAGCCAGGTCGACACAGAAGGATGAGGCCCTGGCCAATGCACTCAGCATTGCCTTGCCCAGAAGGGAGAGGGGCCCCGGGCTCCCAGATGTGAGCCCGTCCCAGCCTACTTGAGCTCCTTCAGCTCACGGCTGACGTCATTCTTCTGCTTGCGGGTGTCATCCAGGCTGCGCAGGGCCTCGGCCAGCTCACTCACTGCACGGTCCCGCTCCCGCCTCAGGTTGTCACACAGTGTCCTGGTGGAAGGAGCAGCAGACAAGGTTACCTGAAGGGGCACGGGGAAGAGGGCTCCCGGTCTGCAGCGGATGGCCTGGCTGCCTCACTCCAAATACCTGCCGGCACGTGCCCCATCCCCAGATGCACAGGAGCGCTTGCGAATCTGGGGGTAAGATCACCTGGGCCAGCCCCAGTGCATGACAGAGGGAACGTGGAGGACCTGTGCAGGGAAGATATACCCCTACAGTCACCCCGCAACAAGTGTCAGGTTCCCAATGCCCCGTTTCACCCTCAATGTGCCTGGGGTTAAGGACCACCCTCTGCACACACTCACTGTTCTAAGGTCAACTTGAGGGGCCGGGGGTGGCTCTCCTCTATATGAAGCACCCCCACCTGCTTGGCAGGCCTGTGCTCCAGCACTACCCCATGTCTCATATCTACCCACAGGCAGAGCTTTCTAGAGCTATCCCTGCACCCTGCAACTGGGATGGGAGCCCCTTCGGATAGCAGCCGGTCCTCATGTATCTCTGCCTCTCTTAGCTCTGTGCAGGTGCAAAGTACAAGCTTGGTGAGACTCTACGAAAGAGGACCCTAAGGAGGTGGAGACAGATGACCTGGCTGTGGAGGGGCCTGGGCTCTGTGCCACCTCCATAAATGGATATACCCAGAGGACTGTGGTTCCTACCTCCCCACAGCCTCAAATCTCCCCCAACCTCAGTCAGAGCCTGGCTAAGGACTGCCCCCTAGAGACACCCGTGGAAGGGGTCCGGGCAGAAGCAGACAGGGAGCAGCTCCTGGGCCTCCCTCCCCTTGCACTGGGCACCTAGCTGTGCTCTCCATTGGCAGGGCCTCACCACCTAGCCATCCTCATCTCCTGATCAGCCCCTAGAGACATTGGTCTCTCCCCTGACCAACCACAAGGAATCTTTGGAAACCTCCCAAATACCAAGACATTATCTCTCCCCACCCCAAACATCATCACGACCACAGCCACTCCTGGATCCTCCCCAGCCAGGATCAAGTCCACACTGCTTGGCTTCCCTTTCAAGGCCTCTACACCTGCCCCTGGGAATCTCGCCAGCCTGCCCTCCCCATGACTCACCCATGTCCCTGCCCTGAGCACACGCCACAGGTCCCCTCCGTCTGCAATGCCCTTCCCCCTTTTCCACCTGGAAAAACCCCACTCGTGCTTCCAGTTCTAGCTCGAATGCCACGCTCTCTGGGGAGACCTCCCCACACCCCAGGGAGCCCTGCATGCCCCCCACAGCCCTGGAGCTCAGTCACGCATCTTCCTCCCTCACTGCCCTGCCCACCCAAGCCTCTCCCGAGGTCTCTTTGCTCCAGGGATTTGAGACCCTGGCACACAGTAGGCGCCTGGGGAATACTGCTAAAAGGACGCATTTCGGATGTGCTCTTCTCATCAGAAGCCCTCAAATAAAAGAGGTTGGCCTCATGCTCCTTCACAGGCGTCTCATGTGGACATAGTACATACTCAGGACATATAGGGCTGAGTGACATGGGAGGGAGAAACAATGGAAAATTCTAAAACTAAGAGGCAAGGCTGGGGCATCAACTAGGGGTGAGAAAGGAGGAGCCCAGGTCCCTCCCACCTTAGCTGGACACACAGCAAATGATTCGGACCCTCCCAACAGACCCTAGCAGGTCCCCGCATCCTGGGGAGATGCGAGCCCACGCCAGCTCGAAGGCACCCCATACCGGATGCTGTCACGCTCTGCTACGATCTTGTCTCGCTCCTGGAAGGCCCAGTCCCGCCGGCACTTGGCCACATCCGCCTCCTGAAGGGCTTCCTTCAGCTCCTGGCACAGAGCCTTGCACTGCTTTCGAAGGATTTCAACCTCCTTGTTGGCTCTCCCAGCATCCATTGTCACCGTGTCTTTGATCTGGTGGGAGTAAGGGGCAGGGAGAGGGAGAGGCTGCTGAGCCTCATGGACCAGGAGCGCCTCCCACCAGTGCAGGGGTCAAGGCTGAGGCTCTAGGGAGCTGGATGGAAACACGGAGCCCATCGCAGCACACCCCCTCCACCCATACCCCCAGTGACTACACCCCACAGCCACTGTCCTATTAACCAGCCCACCCCCCCCACAGCCCCCACGTGTCTGTGATCCTGATTTTTATAATCTGGCAAGCTGAGTTATTTTTAAAGACAAAAATACATCGGTGTTCCTGCTGGTGAAGTGCTGTGTATCTCAGTTCGTTTAAAAAGCTGAAATCCGAAGCATTTGTATCTTGGCACATCCCTAGAGAGTTATATGCTCCACTAAAATTTCAAGTCAAACTCTAAGAAGCACTCATATGAAAAGCCCCCTCCACACCTCTATAATCCTTAGAAAACACGGAGAAATGATGGATGACAAAGTGAGTGTTTACTGCAAGAATAACTCCTCCCCTGGCTCAAAGGCTTTCCAAACACGCAAAACAGAAGCATGACAACAGAGGCGGTGATGACACTGCTGTCCCCGCCCCGAGACTCTCCACCCTCAAGTGCTAGGACACAGGAAGACACACACGCACAGGAAGAAAGCTTCCGTTCCCTCTAACGATCATTCTCCAGAGAACAGGAGATGGCAGCCTCTGCAAAAACATGTTCAGAAAGATCTCAGACATAGAAAACAAGAGAAGAGAATGAAGCTGACAGGAAAACACCTACAGTCAGTTGATAAATCCCCCCATCTCTCAAAACTGAGGCAGAGGAGCTGAAAAACAATTTGCACAAAAAGGACCATCAAAGCTCGAGGGTGCCAGTGCAGTGGCTGGCTTTGCTCGGACCTCACGGTTCCTGGGAGTCATTCAAATCATTTCAGTTTTGATTATTTTTTCAGCTTTACATGGTATGCCGTGTTTGTTTAGTTTGCTATTTTCAAAAAAAAAATCCTTAAATTTTCATTTTAAAAATTATTATTTGGGGGCAGGGTACAGTGGCTCACACCTGTAATCCCAGCACTTTGGGAGGCCAAGGCAGGCAGATCACATGAGATCAGGAGTTCGAGACCAGCCTGGCCAACATGGTGAAACCCCATTTCTACTAAAACTACGAAAATTAGCCAGACATGGTGGCATGTGCCTGTGGTCCCAGCTCCATGGGAGACTGAGGCAGGAGAATCACTTGAACTTGGGAGACAGAGGTCGCAGTGAGCCCAGATGGCGCCAACTCACTCCAGCCTGGACAACAGAGTGAGACTCGGTCTCAAAAAAAAAAAAAAAAAAAGTGTATTAATTTAGTCAAGAATTTATGATAAACAATACTTTTCAAAATTTACATTATACTCACTGTTTTACAATATATTTATGGATAGTTTTAGAGCTGACACATGTTACCACATGGATTCCCTGAAAGGTTTCTCCATGGTGCTCTGGATGAGCATCTAGGGAGGCCCCAGGTGCAGACAGGAGGAGAGGCAGCATAAGAGGTGGGCAGCTCCCCCAGCCCATAGCTCCCTTCCTTCCCCTGGGCTCCACGCCATTGCTGGTCTCCAAAATGAATTCATCCCCAAATACTGCTTCCTTATATGGAATACAAGAAGTACTATACTTAGTTTTAGTGAAGGGGGAAGAGGGGAAAGAGGCACCTTTTAAAAAATGGTAAAATTTGGAAGCCCAGCAGACCCAAGTGACCGACTGATTGATTCTGATCACACTGGTGAGGAACCACAGGATCTAGAAGTGACTCACCAGGGCTCCCCCATCCTGCAGAGCTGACTCATGATCAGTACCAGCTCCTCTATCCCAGGCATCAGATGTCAGTCTGAGTCTGCTCTAAAAGTGCCACCTGCAGTCTCTTTCTTCCAGTGCTGGGTGAGCAAAGGCGTGGGAAGAGATGGGCCGGCCTTCACAAGACACTTGCCAGACCCAGCCATGAGGCCGGTGAGAAAGGCCCATGGGCTGCAACCCAGAGGGCCAGAGCCCACTCGAGGGTCCCAGGGGAGGATGGGGCCCAAGTGTGGAGTGGTGCCCCTGAGCAGACGGCTCTCAGGTGAGGGCACCTCCCTCTGCTTCCTGGGCAGCTTCTCTTGCTACAACAACCCTCTGCATCTAAGTTCTGGAAAGGCCAGTGCTGCCTCACCTTGTCCCCTGGCACTGTCCAGTCTGTCCACCACAGCTGAGCTCAGCTCCTCAACTAGGACCTGTAGCTGGACATGAAACTGCATTCAGGGCAGCAGACGGCAGGAGCGTGGGGGGCTGCCCTTCTACAGACAGGGTTCGGTGAGCAGGGCCCGTCTGGGAAAGTGCGTTGGAACCTGGGAGATCTCTGCAATAGGCAGCAGTGACCTACGGCTTCCAGTGGTGCCAACCTCAACTCCCCAGGCAGTTCCTCCCTCCTCCTGGGAGCAATGAGCCTTCGCTGGACAAGGTCAGCTCCTAGCCTGAGGCAGGAGGGTGGCCTTGGGGGAGCTCCTGAGGATATCTCCCCTCTGGGAGCTGGTAAGGAGGTGAGGGCACAGCCAACCTGTCAAAGACCCTGACAGGCCCCTGGCCTCCCGGTGCTCTTTGCCTCAGCCCACTCAGAAGAACACAGAAGGGAGAGAGGCATGGAGAAGGAAAAGGGAAAATGGAGCAAGAGGTGCAGATAGACGACAGGGGCATGCAAGCACCACACCAGAAACTGAAGCCCAGCCCTCGGGCTGAGCAGGATGAAGACAGCTCTGTGGTGAGGGAGCTAGACCTGCCAGAAGGCCCCCCACAGCTGACCCCTGACAGGCAGCAGCCAGTGGGGTGGCGGGGCCAATCCCCAGGGTGCCTCACTGCCCACCCCTCCTGGCCTGCTCTTGCCGGTGGAGAGTGCTCTTATTCATGAAGCCAGACCAACTTGAGAAGGAGCTGACGGGCAGCAGCGGGGGCTATCTCCTGCCTGCTGACTCGGAACGGGGCCTGGAAAAGATCCCTGTCTCAGCTGACAGCTGCACTTGGTGCCCAGCCAATACCCCCTGTGGAGGCTGGAGGCGGGCTCCAGGCTGAAGGGCTCGCCTGAGTGCTGGGAAGGCGACGGCTGCCCCAAGGACGTCAGGCCTGGGGGTCTCATTGCTGGATGCCAGCACCGCAGGGAACTCAGGTGTCCTCTGTACATCTCTGTGCTTTCTACATTTCTACAAAGAGTCTTCACCATTAACTTCAAAGATCTCAAAATTTGGCCAGGCGCAGTAGCTCAGGCCTGTAATCCTAGCATGTTGGGAGGCCAAGGTGGGTGGATCACCTGAGGTCAGGAGTTCAAGACCAGCCTGGCCAACATGGCGAAACCCCATCTCTACTAAAAATACAAAAATTAGCCGGGCGTACTGGCAGGTGTGTATAATCCCAGCTACTCAGGAGGCTGAGACAGGAGGATCGCTGGAACCCAACAGGTGGAGGTTATAGTGAGTTGAGATCGTGCCACTTCACTCCAGCCTGGGAAAAAGAGGGAAAGTACGTTTCAAAAAAAAAAAGAAAGAAAGAAAGAAAAAAGAAAATCTCAAAACTCCATCCGCACGGGCTCACTGTCATTCCCCAGGCATGTGTCTGATATTCTGTGACATTTCACAGCAGTTACTGACTTGGTCATTTTCCAAGTTTCCATCTTCATCATTTTGTTTTCGTTATTTGATATTGACATTTTCCCCCAACAATTACGTGCTCAGAAACCAGGATGTGAACATGAGTTCATGGTTTTTCTAGGATGATTACCAAGTTCTAATGCATTATCTTCACTTACTAAAAATTTATTCTAATAGACTTTCAAAAATTTCATTGCAGTAAATATTCATCTTCACACTGGCTTTTGCCTCAAGGGTCTCCAGAAGTCTTGGTGGTTCCTTGCACGAAATTCCCATTACTTGGTTGGCCCATTTTTACCCAAAGAAACAGTTTAATGAGGTTCACCCTAATCCTAACAGAGTAGTAAGATTCAGATGGGCATAATAATGAATGCCCATCTCAACTCACTGTTGCTTTGTGCAGGCACGATGATGTATTTTCTATATTGAATCATTTGTTCATCACAACCACCATTCCATTGTGCAGATGAAGAAACTGAGGCTGGCTGGGTGCAGGGGCTCACGCCTATAATCCCAGCACTTTGGGAGGCCGAGGCAGGAGGATCGCTTGAGCCCAGGAGTTTGAGACCAGCCTGGGCAACATAGTGAGACTGCGTCACTACAAAAAAATTCAGAATTAGCTGGGTGTGGTGGTGCTTGCATATAGTCCCAGCTACTTGGGGGGGCTGAGGTGGGAGGATCACTTGAGCCCAAGAGGTCGAGATTACAGTGAGCTATGATTGTGCCACTGCACTCCAGCCTGGGGAACAGACAGGCTGTCTCAACAAAAAAGTAAATTAAAAATAGAAACTGAGGCCCAGAGGCCAGGCACAGTGGCTCACCAGGCGGTGAAATTATGCTTGTAATCCTGATACTTTGGGAGGCTGAGGCGGAAGGATTGCTTGAGTCCAGGAGTTCAAGACCAGCCTGGCCAACATGGCAAAGCCACATCTCTACTAAAAATACAAAAAATTAGCCAGGTGTGGCGGCGCACACCTGTAACCCCAGCTACTTGGGAAGCTGAGGCATGAGAATTGCTTGAACCCGGGAGGTAGAGGTTGCAGTGAGCCAAGATTGTGCCACTGTACTTCAGCTTGGGCAACAGAACAAGACTCGGTCTCATAAAAAAAAAAAAAAGAAACAGAGGCCTAGAGAGGTTTGAGACGACATGACTGAGGAGGGCCATCTCTCAGCAAGGGGCCTGTGTCTCATGCATTCCCCACATCCCCTATCACTGCCCGGGCGTGAAGAGAAGTTGTATCAGTTGAAAGACATGCTGGTCACCCATCAGGCATCACCTGCCTCACACTTGGTATGGCAGGACCTGGTAGTAATGATCCAATGCATACCACCCCTGCCAAACTGCCTGACCTTTAACGCCTTGCTTTTTGCTTCTCATAAACCACCTTTGAAAGCTGCATTCCAACTGACCTGCACAGAAAGGCAGGAGAATAGAGGGACATGAATATCCGAGAACTATTGTGATAGGGGAAAAAATCTGCTGTGATCAAGTCTAGAAGCTCTAATCAGAGCCACACACAACACAGACTGAAGGGAATCTCCATGGGCCCATCCAAGCCCCAGCAGGGCTCAGCTAGACCTAGGGCAAGGAGCTCCACGATGAGGAGAGGTTGACAGGTAGGAAGGAGGCAGAAAATCCACATTGGCCACCCAGGAGTTGAGCTAGGTGGCGCAATCCAATGCTATCAAACATCCCAGCTCCCCAGCCCCGGAGGTGTGGCCCCCAGACAGCAAGGCTTCAGGAGAAGAACTAGCAGGCTCAGCCTAGTAGCACATCTTCCCAGCAGGAGCCTGAAACACTTTTTGAAGAGCAGACTCGATCAGATGCACACTGCTGGTGGAGAAGGGCCCCTGAGGGTACTCTTCCAGACGCAAGAGGCCTAACGTATCTATGGCTTTGGGAACTTGGCCTTGGTATCTTGCTTCATAATAAGCAAGTCCTTGAGATATCACTGACTTTCAGCATGAGACTGATCTGCAATTACGTAGCAATGGGTTTGGGTGTGAGAGTATCGGTGCGCGTCATCTGACTCTTCCTGGTGTGTAAGCTCCAGGTATCCACGACTATGTCTGGGCCTCCCTCCCCACTTGTCCCCTGTAATCCAGACTAGAGCTGGGCATCGAGCATGAGCTCAGGAGTTACCTCGGTGGTGTCTGATAACCCAGCTTGCACTTAGGCCTCCTATCAGAAGCCCTTTACTCCAATGGGAAGGAGGCTTCTAATCCAGACACCATGCACTCTGCAGCCCCTCTTCCCGGGACGCTGTAGGAGAGGCTGAAAGCCAGCCACCAGCCCACCCACCTACCTGCCGCAGCGCCTCCATCTCCTCACTGGCCGCCTTCTTCTCAGATGTGCTGCTCTTGAGCTTGGACTCGGCCAGTTCCACCTCGGTCTGCAGCTTGTCCAGCTCAGAGATGACCTGGTCGCGCTCACTCATGATGAGCTTGTACTCGCTGTACACAGCGTCCCGCTCCTCCCTGTATTTCTCCGACTCCTTTGCTGTCTTCACCTGCGTGGTTCTCAGCTCGGTCAGCTCTGACTGCAGCAGCTCCATCTCCCACTGCAGGTCCTTGTTCTGCGCTGTGGCCTTGTTCAGCTCATGGTGGATCGCCTCAAACCTGGGGAGAGAGGCGGCGAGACGTGGGAGGGGCGGGGGCGCTGCCCGGTCAGTGGCCGGCTGCGCTGCTGCCTCCCGCCAGCTCTGCGGTGCTGGACAGTCAAGCGTGAAATTTCAAGTGAAGTCACTCTCTTCACCCCCAAGAGAAAAGTCACGGAGTACCAGTGCCCCCAGACCTGGAATTTTTCTCAGCCCTTTACAAATGCCAGGAGTTGAACTGAGGACATTATGCCCTCCGCTCCACTAGAAACAACAGCGTATTTCTCCCACAGTCAAGCCACATTAATTTTAAAAAACAATAAAAACAAAACAATGCCAGGATAACAGCATAAAGAGGCCTTAACGATCATTTAGTCAAACCGCCTCATTTCACAGATACGAACAGTACAGCCCTGTGACAAGGTCATCAAGTTCGCTCGAAGAGCACAGCTCGGTCCTTCCAGGCCGGGGGGCATCTTCCACACAGGCAGCCTGCAAATCACAGCCCATGGCTCCAGACCAGCAATTCTCAGTATGGTCCATAGACGCCGGTTCTGCATGGAGCTCCATGACCCAAAAAAAAGTATATTATCTGATGATTTATGTTTGGGAAACTCTGCATCTTGGCTGCCTCTTGGAGAGTCTATCTACTGCACACCACCACACTGAAGGCTCTGAGAAGTCCTGCAGCAGAGACATCTGTCTGGGTTCAACCTGGCAATGCTCAAACCTATTTATCGCCAGAGAGCACTTTTCATGTGAAACTGATAAATGCTCCAGAGAACTGGTGATTCACAGGCACATACTCTACAAAACACTGTTTGAGGGCATATATCACATCTCTAAAGATAACAGAAGACACACGCCCCAGAGAATTAACTTTCCTATTTGCTAGGTGGGTGACTGCCACAGAGGACAGAGGCACATGGCAGGGACCAAAGAAACAGGATGCTCAGAACACACCAGCATTTATTAAGCATTGTGTAGCGCAGTTAATACAGCAGACCTGAAATTTCTACATCCTCAGACAGGCCCGCTTGCAAGGCTAACCACTGAATGGTGTCTGTGGACCTGAAGGTAAACAGGGATGTTCAGATGGGAGGAGGGAGCCATGATTCCCAAGACAGATTCGTTAGTCAAAAAAAAAAAAGGTTTCCTGGTCAGAAGCATTTTTTGATTGAAAAAGCACCGTAACTCATGCTCTTCTCATCACCTGGGGGTGGTTGGGAACCTTACAGGACCCATTTGCCCCCAGCCCCCCGTGGCCCTAGCCCTACCTCCTCAGGGAGAGGGCACACTGGTGCTGTAGCTGGATGGCCGTGTCCCTCTGCTGGGTCAGCATCTCTGTCTGCTTCAGCAGCCGCTGGTTCTCCTCCCCAAGCTGCTCCAGGCGGCTCAGGTCTGCATTGTGGATGGCGACTTTCTCACTGTACCTCTTCCGCAGGGCGTCATAGTCCTTCTTGACCACCTCCAACTTGTCCATGGCCGTGTCATACAGCTTGTTGAGAATCTCGGATGACCCGTTGTGCTTCAACACCTGGAGACCAGACAGTCCCACTTACCAAGGGTCTGGGGGAGGTGGTGGAGGAGACCTCCCACTCTCACTTTTGTCTGTCTGAGGGTGGGACTGATGACAAGGGGGGGGGTCACCCTAGGGCTTTTGAGAGTCTTGAGGTCCAATTCTCCAGGCCTTGCAGTCACACTGGGCTGATTCATTTAGATTCACTCAGTCACAAGTATTTACTAAGTATTGTGCAGAACAGTTAACACAGCTGACCTGACATTTCTATATCCTTAGAAAGACCTGCTTGCAAGGTTGACCCTATTGAATGGTGTCTAGGAACCCAAACAGTAAACAGTTCTCTAGGCTGATGTGAAACTTTCTTCCGGTGATATAAGCAGCTCTGGTACTGAGCCTGTACAAACAAAGTGGCTTATGCTGAACACCTGCTTTCTTCTGGGAGTACAGAATCTGGGTACATGCTAGGCAGAGGTACCCACATGACCAGCCCTCAGTAAGACACTTGGGCACTGAGTGTCTAACAGGCCTCCGTGGAGGCCAGCACTTCTCGTGTGTTGTTGGGATTCCATTCTGGAGGAATTCAGTGCATCTGGTGAAACTCCACCAGGAGAGGACGCTTGGAAACTCGGGCCCAGTTTCCTCTGGACTTTGCCTCACGCGTCTTTCCCCTTTGCCGACTTTGCTCTGTGTACGTTTGTTGTAATAAATGTCAGCCATTGAGTATAATTACATACTGAATCTTGTGAGTCCTCCCAGAAAGTCACATAGCCCAGAATCAGGTTTTGTAAATCGGACCTAAAGACTCTCAAAAGCCCTAGGGTGACCCTCCATGGTGTAGGGTACCCTCGCATCCCATGCAAATACCTAATATGTCTAGCACTGTTCTAGGTGCTGGTGATGCCAGACGGGAAAGAAAGAGGTTGTGACCTGTGGGCCTTTTATCCTAATTTGGAGGGTGTGGACACACAGGCCAAATAAAGTAACTTCAGAGCAAGGTAAGAACTATCAAGAAAATAAAAAATAAAACAGTATAATGGGCTGGAGAGAGCCATCTGAGTAGCAGAGGGGAGGACTGTGAGGGAGACTAAGGCTGAAGAGGCTTCTTGAAGAAGGTGACTTCAGAATTCAGAGGCAAATGAAGAAGAGCACGCCGGGCAGAGGGGAGGGCAGGGGCAAAGGCCCAGAGGCAGGGCCTGCAGGCGTGTTCTAGAGATAAAGAGAGGGGAGGGGCAGGGCGGAGTAGCAGGAGCCCAGTGCACAGCGGGAGGTGGATTCAAAGGGGACCTGGAGAAGTGGGCGTGGGCATGGGGGTGGCCATGGCTGCAGGGCTCACAGTGAAGATGGTCTCCTGAGTGAGACAGGAAGCTGTGGAGGGTTTTAAGCTAGACAGCATTCTACTCTGAATGACAGGCACTAAAGTTCATTTGGGGTGCTGTTATAGAGAAAAAACCAAACCAAGAAGATGAGTTAAGAGGTTGCCAGGGGGGCTGCTGGCTTCGGCTAAGCACCTCATGGGATCTGAGCCCTGGGGTGGGTCACTCCACCACTCTGGGTTTCAGCTTCCGGATTCCTCAAATGCCAAGGCTAGACCAGGTAAGCCTGTCTGGCCCTTCCAGCTCCAACAGCCGAGGAATTCCCTGGCTCATTCAGTGGGGGCCTGGGTTATCAAATGTTTGCAGCCTAGAGATCCAGAACCTGGGACGATGGAATATTCTCTTTGGAGTTAGGGTCAGCCCTCAATAAACATGAAAAACACAAAAAGCAAAAGAGGGCTTAATTTAAAAGTCAGAATCAGAGCAACAAGAAAGTAAGCTCCTTCCTCTAAGGCCTAAGCATTAGATCCTAGGACTGTAGACTCTTAAAGAGGAAGTCAAGGAAGAGGGAGAAACGGAAGGATGGAGGGAGGGAGGGAAGGAAGAGGGGAAGGAAGGAAGGGGAGGAGAAAGAGAGAAACAGAGGGAAGGAAGGAGGAAGGAAGGAAGGAAGGGAGGGAGGGAGGGAGGGAGGATTGGTTCGTTTCAGGTTCATTCTTTTTCCTTCATTTATTTTTAAAGTGGAACATTTTCTTTCAAGGGAAATCTTACTAGGACACCAAAATATAGAATTTATTTGAAAAAGTAGTACACAGGTGTTTCAGGTGGTCAAAATCTTCACTGTTTTGTAAAATGGCATCACTGTTGCAAAACAGGAATGCACACTGAGAACCAGAACCTCACTGACAGTGCCTGCTCTACATCTAAAATCTTAAAAAAAAAAAAAAAAAAAAAAGCCAGGCCAGGCACAGTGGCTCATGCCTGTAATCCCAGAACTTTGAGAGGCCGAGGTGGGCGGATCACCTGAGATCAGGAGATTCAGACCAGCCTGACCAACATGGTGAAACCTTGTCTCTACTAAACATACAAAAATTAGCTGCACATGGTGGCAGGCACCTGCAATCCTAGCTACTCGGGAGGCTGAGGCAGGAGAATCGCTTGAACCCAGGAGGCAGAGGTTGCAGTGAGTTGAGATCGCACCACTGCACTCCAGTCTGGGTGACAAGCGCGAGACTTCATCTCAAAAAAAAAGGAATGGGCTTACCCATGACCATAATCTGGTCAATAAACTCCTGAAATCTGGTCAACCAATGCCTTCCACCCACGTCTGGAAAGGTCCAGCATCTAAACTGGATTGCCCTGATTGGTGAGCAATACCTCAAAAATGCCAATTAAAAATTACTTCAGGCCGGGCACGGTGGCTCACGCCTGTAATCCTAGCACTTTGGGAGGCCGAGGTGGGCAGATCACAAGGTTGGGAGTTCGAGACCAGCCGGGTTAACATGGTGAAACCCTGTCTCTACGAAAAATACAAAAATTAGCCAGGCGTGGTGATGGGCACCTGGAATCCCTGCTACTCAGGAGGCTGAGGCAGGAGAATTGCTTGAACCCAGGAGGCGTAGGTTGCAGTGAGCCAAGATTGTGCCACTGTACCCTAGCCTGGGTGACAGAGCGATACTCTGTATCCAAAAAAAAAAAAATTACCTCAAATGTTTTACTCTCTAAATATCCCCTAAGCCAAGTGAGAACCCCATTGGCTCCAAATGAGTCTGGTTCGCTGGGAACAAAGGCGGCTGCCATTGCCTGAGTTCCCCACAAGGTGGCAGCCGCGCGGAGACGAGCCAATGCTCTCCTGTAGCGGCTTCCCGCCTTCCCAGCTCAGAAACAATCTCGTTCTAAAGGCAGCCTTGAAATGATACAAAGCCGGGTTCTGGGCAGTAGCCCAGCAGAGCCCACCTCCACCAGTGCATGGCAGAATCAGGAGTCTATACCATGGTTCGGCCTCTTTGCAGTCCCCTGAACGGCTAACCTTGAGGGGCCTGGATCCAGGCCTGTGTGACAATCCAAGGATGATTCAGGGCCGTGGGAATCAGGCTGCCAGAAAGGGCCATGAGAGTGGGCCACGAATTCCCAGTGCGACAGGGTGGGTCAGGGAAATCCCAGCGCAGACCTCGAGGTCCTTTCTGCTGCTCCCCCCAGCCTTCATAACATGATGGGATACTCGGGTCAGAAGACCGAGAGAGAGAGATCAGGCCCCATACTGCTTCCACCACGATAACTGCCACCCTCGGCCTGTTCCACAGGTGAAAGCTCCTTGGGAAAGGGTCCTGCTCACCACGAGCTACTCCGCCTCCCTGCAACTCCTAACCTCCGGTTCTCACTCTAGCCTTGGAGTCAAACAGAATAACCTGTTCCCACAGGGCAGCAACTAGATACTCAAAGAGGCTCGCAGGCCTCCAAACACTTTTCACCCTTTCTCTACAAGCAGGACTCAGTGCCAGGCCTGTGCTATGTAACCAACAGCCTCTGAACAAAGCTGGGGAACCAGGTCACGGTTAACTCCGGAGAATCCGAAAAACTAAATCTATTGGTCTAGAACATTTCCCTGTCACCATTAGAGGATTATGTTCTTGGTAGGTATTTCCCACATGTACGTGCACACACACGTGCGCATGCACACACACACACATCTAACTACAGTCAAATGTTTAGCTTCCCAGAAAAGGCTAATGAAAGAGAGAACATTTAAATTTGGCCCAGAATTCTAAAATTAAAGTGATCACAGTTCACTGCAACCTCAACCTCCCAGGCTCAAGTGAGCCTCCTGCCTCAGCCTCCCAAGTAGCTGGGATCACAGGCATGCCCCATCACACCTGGCTAATTTTTTATTTTGTATAGAGATGGGGCGGCGGGGTCTCACTATGTTGCCCAGGCTGGTCTTGAGCTCCTAGACTCAAGTGATGCACTGGCTTCGGCCTCCCAAAGTGCTAAGATTACAGGTGTGAGCCCCCGAGCCTGGCCTGAGAGTCAACTTCTCCCCTCAGGCAGGCAGCAGTCTTTAGAGATGATGCCCTGCCGGCCTGAGCACAGGACAGTTGGCCTGTGAGTTTAAGGAGAAGGGGGTGGAAGTTACACTGGGGAGGCACAAAGACAGCCATAGTCTGGGCTGCTCCCTGCAGGGAGGCCAGGAAGAGACCAACCCTCCTACCTGTACCCCACACTGGTCAGAACACTCCTCTGTGGGCTTCTCTGTAAGGGATGCCCTTCAGCAACCAGGAAACCCCTCTCCTCCCTTCTTTCAGGCCCATCAAAGGGCATTCATTCAGGATACCTGGGACAAGAAAATCGACTTTCATGAATTACAAGAGAAAGTATATTTTATTTTATTTTATTTTTGAGACGGAGTCTCGCTCTGTCGCCCAGACTGGAGTGCAGTGGTGAGATCTTGGCTCACTGCAAGCCCCGCCTCCCAGGTTCATGCCATTCTCCTGCCTCAGCCTCCCGAGTAGCTGGGACTACAGGCGCCCGCTACCACGCCCGGCTAATTTTTTGTATTTCTAGTACAGACAGGGTTTCACCATGTTATGCAGGATGGTCTCGATCTCCTGACCTTGTGATCTGCCTGCCTCGGCCTCCCAAAGTGCTGGGATTACAGGCGTGAGCCACCGCGCCCGGCCAAGAAAGTATATTTTAAAGACAGGGGAAAGGGCAAGGAGGAGGAGACAGAAGACTCTTGGGGCCTGAGAGGTTTCCCAGATAGATTGGCAGGACCTAGGAGAACATGTGCACTGCCCTGGTCTCAGGAATTCTACCTGTAAGGCTCAAACTTCAAAACGTGTGTGCAAAAGAGCACAAAGACATGTGTGTCCACTGAAACACGGTTTGTAACATGGGAAGATGTTGACCACCAAGACGCTCCACACAGAATTTGATTAACACCTGACAGACAACAAAACAAGCACGGACCTTTTTGGATGTGCAAATTCACAGAAAATGTAAGGAAACCCATGATATATTGTAGGATATTTGTTTTGAAAGCAGGTTTCAGGGAACAAAAAACAAAACTATATGAGTATTAAATGTGACATTTTAAAAAAAAATCTACAAGGATCCACATCCATCCCAATGGTTTACCCAGAGGATGGTCATTTCCACAAAGCTAGGCTGGGTCTGAGGAGGTGGGTGGCTGCCTTCCACATTGGTTGAAGACTTTTTTCTATTTTAACCAGAGAATACGCACTATTTTAGTAAAGAAAAAAGATGCAAAAACACCCTCTACTTAGATTCCCCAACCAAGCCTTGTCAGGGTCTCCTGGGCTTTCTTGACACAGCCTAGAAGAATGCCCAAACCCAGAGACGGGGATGCCAGGCAGAGGCCCTCCCCAGCAAAACACACATACGGACAAAACACCTGTTTGCTGCTCTCAACCACGGCGCCCCCTCCCCCAGAGTGCCTCATTTCCTCTGAGATAAATCATGCAGAGGGCCGGGAAGCCCCACAAATCCCTCAAGCAAACACGCAAGTCAAACAGCACCATTTACCCTGCAAGGGCCTCTTCAAGTTTACAAGGCGTGGGAGGAACCCGGCAACAAAACTGCCCTTGTCCAGCAAGGTCGACCTTTGCCCTCGGGCCCAGCGGGGAGCAAGCCTGTGGCCATCCCCGTGTCCTCGCTTCCTCTGCTGCTGGCCTACTGCCACCTGGGCATCCACCCCACGCCTGACGAAGGCAAGAGGGCCCGGGATGCCGGGATAGGGGGCTGGCCGCCCAGCAGCTCTGAGATGCTCCCAGCCCTGCTCCCTGTGGCAGCCAGGCCTCTTCTCCTGGTGGGGTCTGGAGGTGGTGTTTGCTGGGAGGCACTGGTCCAGCTGAACTGACCTGGGGGACCCCAATGACCAGGATGCATCCCCACCCCCACCCCTGCTGCCAAGGACCACAGCGGTAGGAAAAGGAGAGCAGGGAATGGGCTGCGGGGTTGGAGAGGAAGACCCTCCCCTGTTAGGCAGACAGGAAAGGGAGAGAGGATGGGGGTGGGAGGGACGTCTCAGTCTGAATGTCTGTAAAGCTGAGCAGGTGCTCAAGAAAGTCAGAGAACAGGAGACAAGGAAACTTTACGGTTCTTGAGGGCAGAGTGCTCTTCCTAAAAAATAATTTTTTTAATTAAACAATGTTTTGTACAGATAGAGTCTCTCTATGTTGCCCAGGCTGATCTTGGACTCCTCGACCCAAGGGATCCTCCTGCTCTTTCCAAAGTGCTGGGATTACAGGCGTGAGCCACTGTACCCAGCCTGGATTTCTCTACTTATGACAAGGTGAACTTCTGAGTCTTTTTTTTTTCCTCTCTGAGTTATAATTTACATACCACACAAAGTGTACAATTCAGTTTAATATATTCACGAGGTTATGAATCCACAAAGTTGTGAAGCCACTACCACTATCTAATTCCAGAACATTTTTATCACCCCCAAAATAAACCAGTACCCATCAGCAGTCACTTCCCAAACCCCAAGCCCAAGACAACCACAAATCTGCTTTGTGTCCACATAGATTTCCCTGTTGTGGACATTTCATGTACCTGGAATCATAGTTTGTGGTCTTTTGTGGCTGGTTTCTTTCATTGGCTGTCATGTTTTTGAAGTTCATCCACATTATAGCATGGATCAGCATTGCATTCCTTGTTATGCTGAATAATACTCCATTGTATGGATAGATCACATTTTATTTATCCATTCATCAGTCAGTGGACCTTTGGGTTACCGGTTTTGGGCTGCTATGAATATTCACACCTCAAGTTTCTGTGTGGACATATATTTTCAGGTCTCCTGGGTGCACACCTAGGCGTGTCGCTGGGAGGTCAGCTGTTAGCTCTGTTTAGTTTTTTGAGGAATCACTAGGCTGCCTTTCACAGTGGCTGTATCATTTCTTCCCACCCACAATGTATGCAGGTTCTAATTTCTACACATCCTGGATGAGGCAGATTTAAACCCAGACTTGACAGGATTAGAACAATATCATTAATGACCACAACACTGACTGAGCGCCTCATACACACGGGCACACGGCGCCAGCGCCTTCCACGCAGTGTCTTCGTGACAGTCATATAAGACAATTCTGCTACACTGAGATGCTGCTCCAACCTCACACTTTCTAGCAAGGCTGTGGGGCTTCCTGCGGACCGAGGTGGAGTCATATACACTTTTGAAATGATGACTCTCTCAAGGAAGAATAGAATCCAAACTAAACCCCAAGGCAAAAGGTTACCTGAGCCAAGTGTAGACCAAGAAGAACAAACTGCTGGCAAAAGAGCAAGAAAACAAAGCACACAGCAGGGTGCAGGTGAAGGCTGGGAGGGGCCGCCTGCCCACAGGTGGGGGAAGTTACCACACACCCCAGGGCAGAGAAGGGGCTCAAACCCTTAGAGGCCCATCCCCTCGGGCAGCTTCCCGGGAGCTTTGTTTCAACACAGCACCGCCATCCTTACCTGCTTCACACGCAAGATTTCTCCAAAGGATTTCTTTTGAGGTTAAAAATATTTTTGCCTTTTTAGAAACTGAAAACCTACAGTCTTTAAATCTGTTTGCTCTAGGAAGCTCCACTGACATGCACAAGGAAGGGTCCCTGCAGGGGGAACGGGTTGTGGGCAGTACTAACCAGAGCTAGCAAGGCACCTTCTACTCTCATTTCATCCTTAGAGAAATGCTCCAAGAGCACCACCCCCACCTCCTGAACCTATAAAGGGTGGAAAGGGTGCCGTCGCAGCTTCTCTGAGCCATGCAGCAGGTGCGAGAAGGACAATCTTCCTGTTGCCGGCTTTCCATTACCAAGGCTCAGTCAAGACCTATGGGCTAAACACCAACCTCTGCCCCAGCCACCTCACACAACCAATTCCCCTAATCAGAGGGCACACAAAAAATACTCTAATAGCTCCAAGTATATCCATCTTAGGGTCCCTTGCTGAGCCTGCCCTGGTTACTCCACATAAAACCTCAATCAATACCGGAGAAAAGAAAATAAACAGCAAGTTTTTCAAGAGAAGCAAGTTTTTCAATGGAATACAGTTTCATTGGAATATGGAATATTCCTTTTATCTAAACAATTAAACCTTAAAGCCAGTAGGCAAAGTAGAGCAAGACAGGGACCTACACTGGGGCAGGTCGCCCCAGAGGGGATATCACAGCTGGCATGGAATGAGGAGGGGGTCCTGGCATCACATGAGGAGACCAGGCCTAGCAGAGAGAAGGCATGGGGTGGGAGAGCCCACAAAGGGTCAGGAGGGGATGAGAACGGGATGGGGGACTGCAGAGGGCGTGGGAGGCAGCTACACATGGGGAATTGACCAAGTAAACAAATTAAGAATAACAGGAATCGGCAGGGCACGGTGGCTCACGCCTGCAATCCCAGCACTTTGGGAGGCCAACGTGGGTGGATCATGAGGTCAGGAGATCAAGACCATCCTGGCCAACGTGGTGAACCCCGTCTCTACTAAAAACACAAAAATTAGCTGGGTGTGGTGGCGGGCGCCTGTAGTCCCAGCTACTCAGGAGACTGAGGCAGAAGAATCGCTTGAACCCAGGAGGCAGAGGTTGCAGTGAGCCAAAATCATACCACTGCACTCCAGCCTGGGCGACAGAGCAAGACTCCATCTCAAAAACAAAAAAACAAAAACAAAAACACAAAAACAAAAACACAGGAATTACGTTTGTCACTGTTTGTTTGTTGTTTGTTTGATTGGATTTTTTTTTTTTTTTTTTTTTGAGGCAGAGTCTCACTCTGTCACCCAGACTGGAATGCAGTGGTGCAATCCTGGCTCACTGCATGCTCTGCTTCCCGGGTTCACGCCATTCTCCTGCCTCAGCCTCCCGAGTAGCTGGGACTACAGGCGCCCGCCACCATGCCCGGCTAATTTTTTGTATTTTTAGTAGAGAAGGGGTTTCACCGTGTTAGTCAGGATGGTCTCGATCTCCTGACCTCATGATCCGCCCACTTCGGCCTCCCAAAGTGCTGGGATTACAGGTGTGAGTCACTGCACCCGGCCTTGTCACTGATGTTTTTAAAAGAAGTTACACAAACAAAAAGGGTGGAAACCACAATGAACCTGTGGTCTTGGATTAGAATTGAAAGTGTCAATGTGAACTCATGGCTTTCAATCTACATGTCTGATACAGAAATACAGATATACATATGTGTATGTATGTATGTGTATGGCCTTGTGCACATGTACACTTAGCTACTTCCTACTTCTTTCCACCGAGAGGGCCGGGAAACAGTGCTAACCCAAGCTACAAGCACATCCAGCACTTGGTTGGCTGTGTTTTTTTTTAGAGACAGGGTCTCACTCCATCGCCCAGACTGGGGTACAGTGGCATGATCATAGCTCACTATAACCTCAGACTCCTAGGCTCCAACGATCCTCCTGCCTCAACCTCCTGAGTAGCTAGGACTACAGGTGCACCACCATGTGCAGCTAATTTTTCTTTTTTTTGTAGAGATGGGGTCTTGCCATGTTGCCCAGGCTCATCTCAAGCAATCTCTCACTTTGGTCTCCCAAAGCGCTGGGATCACAGATGTGGGCCAACGTGCCTGACCTGGCATTTACTTCTCAATATTATTCTCCATTAAAAGGAATGAGGACTACTTGGGAGAAATGGCCAGTCTGCAGGAGCTGGGCCTACCTGCTGCTGCTGGGCACGGAGGTCACCGATCTCCTTCTGGTCTTCCTCGTGGAGCCGCTTCATGTCCTCCCACGACTGCTGCAGCAGGTTTCGCTCCCGCAGCAGCTGCCCATTCTCCCGCCTCAGCATGTCCACGTCATCCTTCAGCCGAGTCTGGTCACTCAGGAGCCGGCTGTGGAGTGTGCTGAAACACCCGGTACATGCTCAGGGAGCCCCAGCCAGCCCCTCACACCCTGCCCCACCCCAGGCCATCACCAGCCTCAGGTCTTCCCGTAGATACAGCAGACAGGAGCCAATGGCAGCTAGGTCTGTAGCACTCAGAGGCAAGCCAAAACCTGCTAACAGCCCAATTCCAGAAACATCCAAATCACCACTTACAAACCTGACACCAAAAAGGGCACATGTGTCTCCAGGGAAGGGAGACAGGCCCCTCTGGTACAGACCTAGTGCCTCCAAATACTGGGGCCTGGGCAGGTATCAGCAGGTGGGCAGGCAAAGACCCTCAGAGGGGTACTGGGAGACCAAAGGGAAACACCCCTTGGGCCTATCCTCCAGGAAGAAGCTGCAGTACGGCCCCTGGACAGAGACCCAGAGACCTGCCTGACTCCTGCTGCATGTTCTGAATCACTTTCCTGCCCGCCAGGTCTCTGAAGCTGGCAATAAGATGTGAGGGATTAACAGCCTTGTTTTAACACTTAGGAAAACTGGGGCCCAAAGGCACAAATACAACTGCTGTAGGCAGACTGCTTGCTGCTTGCTGCTTGCACAGGGACAGGACTAGAACCAGAACCCCTGGCTACCAAGTCCAGAGAAAAGAAGGGCAAAAGCAGCTGTCTGTGGGTGTTGGGGGCCCTGGCCAAGCAGGCCTCACTCACTGGTAGAAGTCAGTCTCCTTGGCCACCTCCTCACACCTCTTCAAGGCGTTGGTGTGCTGGTTCTGCAGGCTCTGCAGGTCCGACATGGCTCGCACGCACTGGATCTTCAGCCTCTCGTAGTCAGGATTCAGCCTGTGGTAGGGCCTGGCCCAGAGAGCAAACGGCCCCATGAACACAGGCCCCAGGATTCACACGGACAGGGGAGCCAGGTCCTGGATTAGGCCAGCCCAGTGGTTCCCAAATACTGGTCCCCTATGCACCACACACACCTAAGTGTTTGTTAAACTCAGGTATCCTGGCCTCACTCAGATCCACAGAATCAGAATCCCCAGGATGGAGGGAGCCATGGTTGCCTGAGCTCCCTGCATGGGCCTGGAGAGCTGAGATGGTGCCAACTTGTTCTGTAGGAGCTCCCAGGAGTCTCTACAACAGCTCTGAGTCCGCCAGAAACCTGTGATGAAATGTCTCTTCTCTGTAGGCCGGCCGTGGTGACTCACGCCTGTAATCCCAGCACTTTGGGAGGCCGAGGCGGGTGGATCACTTGAAGTCAGGGGTTTGAGACCAGCCTGAGCAACATGCTGAAACCCCGCCTCTACAAAAAAATTAAAAAATTAGCCTGGTGTGGTGGCATGTGCCAGTAGTCCCAGCTACTCAGGAGGCTAAGGTGGGAGGATCACTTGAGCCCAGAAGGTTGAAGATGCAGTGAGTCAAGATCACACCACTGCATTCCAGCCTGGGCAACAGAGAGGATCCTGTCTCAAAAATAATAAATAAAATAAAATAAAATAAAATAAAATATTAAATAAAAGAAATCTCTCCTCTCTTTAGAACGGTGACTGTCAATCTTGGGTACACATTAAAATACCAATGCCCAGATCAATTACATTAGCATCTCTAAGGATAAGACCCAAACATGAGAATTTTTAAAAACTCCCCAGGGATTCCAATGTGCAACCAAGGTTAAGAACACTGGCCATGAGCAGTGATCTCAGAGTAGGGTTCCCAGACTTGCAACACAGTATCATCTGGGAACTTGTCACAAATAGACATTCTCAGGCCTAGCCCCAGCCCCAGTCCTCCTGAGTCAGGTGTTCTGAAGGGAGGGAAAGAGAGGCAACAATCTGTGCATTAACAAGCTCTGTGGGTGATTCTGGTGCATGCTCAAGTTTGAGGACCCTTTTTCTAGAGCAGAGGTCAGCAGACTTTTTTTGCGAAAGGCCACATAGTAAATACTTAAGGCTTTGCACACTACATGGTTTCTGTTGCAACCACTCAACTCTGCCTTTGTAGCAGGAAAGCAGTCATAGACACTTTGTAACCAATGAGCATGGCTGTGTTCCAATAAAACTTCTTTTATAAAACAGGCAGTGGGCCCGTGGGCCACAGTGTGCCAACTCTCATGTGCTAGCACATTCACGTCTTCACTCGTCCTGCCTTTGGGCCAAATGACTGAGGGGCAGATCCTCACGAATATAAGCTCAAGGATCAGGCTCTGCAGCCCTGGCATAATCCCAGAGGCACAGAGTGCAGAGGCATAGACCCTTGCTCCTGAAGGAAAGAGGTGAAACTGAAGTGTTTACACCAAGCCCTCTTCCCTCCAGACCTCTACCAGCATGGGAGCTAAAGGAGAAACCACTCTGTGGCCCTCCTCCTTTCCAGAACGTCCTCTTAGATCATGCAGGTAGATAAAGACTCTCTCTCTGCCCCACCCTACCGGCCACGCTTCCCTGGTATCTACCTCTAACTCACAGCAAAAGAAGCAAAAATTTTCTTCAAAGCAACAAAGACACCAGGTAGAATGTGGTCTGTTTAAAACACATCATGTGGGGCCAGACGCTGTGGTTCACGCCTGTAATTCCAGCACTCTGGGAGGCCAAGGCAGGAGGATCACTGGAGCCTAGAAGCTCAAAACCAGCCTGGGCAACAACAAAAGACCCTGCTGCAGCAAAAAAAATTAAATAAAAAAAAAAATAGTTGGGCGTGGTGGCACACACCTATAGTCCCAGCTACTCGGAAGGCTAAGGTGGGAGGTTCACTTGAGCTAGGGAGGTCAAAACAGCATTGAACCATGATTGTGCCACTGCATTCTAGCCCAGGCAACAAAGCAAGACCCCGTCTCAAAAAACAAATAAAACACGTATGTGGCAGGGAACAATTAATATGTTTACCAAGCACATAAAGCTTCACTCAACTTAGGCAGGTCTAGGAGACATTGGTAGGAACACACACTCACACACTCTCACACACACACACGAGCCGACTTTGCACACAAGCACACCACTACTAAGGGGCCTCGCCACATGTGGGATGGGGACCTGCCCCAGAAACCTGTGGGTCCTGCCCCTGGGAAGCATTTCTGGACGTGAAGTGGGGAAAAGGGGACACTCAGGCAGTGTAGCCTGGACCCCCAGGAGCTAGGGGTGTCTGGGGGTGACAGCACCAGCATCGGGGTAGTAACCCCAACCATGGGGCCTGGGCAGGGGAGACAGCGTGATTACTACCTCTTGTCGAAGGCCGTGCCATGCGTGGCAAAGGCCAGGCGCTTGCGGAGCTCGTTCCTCTCCCTGGTCATCAGCCGCAGCTGGATGGAGAGGTTCTCCACCTTCTCGTTCACCTGCCGGTCAGTGAGGAGGGGTGGTGGGGACGGTGCCTTCCCGGTAGTGCCTGTAGAAGGGGAATAATAAAGTGAACTTGCATTCATCTGGCATTCACGAGGCGTCCGGTGCTGTTCGGAGCTGTTGTCTTGTGTTAGCTGTTCGTGACACCCCAACAAGTGGGTCCTCTTACCATTCCCCTTTCATAGATGAGAACACTGAGCCGGAGAGGGTAGCAGGTAGAACTGAAAGTGAGTGCAGGGCATCTGGCTCCAGCATCCAAGCACTCAACAACCCCAGTAACCACCCCAGCAAGGCACATGGAGCAGGACAGACCAAACTGTGCCCTGAGGAGAGTGGAAGGCACGGCTCGAGGAGGAAGGCACACCTGAAATCCAGTGACGCTATTAAGGACCAGGGCAGCTGGGGCCCAAGGGCCATGTCCCCGCCCTCCTCGACCAGGACTGGACACTGCACGGCTCCCTTTTTGCAAGCCATCCACCCACCTGACAGACCTGCCCAACCAGCCCAGGCGTGCAGGCTAAAAGGAGGGCTGCTGGCTCCCAGCTTAGGTCAGTGTGACGCCATTCAAGTTGGTCCTGATGCCTCCAGGCTACTTAACCCTCACTAGCCCTCATCACCCACCCTAGGACTGAGTGTCCTGCAGGGAGCCCCACACCTTATGCTCCTAGCAGGCAACAGCCACCGCTGCCACCACCACCTCTGACAAGATCCAAATCCATTTCTAGGAAGAAAGCACCTCATTCCAGGAGAAGAGACTAATCCATGGTGCTTTTATATTGAACCCTGTCAATATGTCTACCTGATACCTCAACCAACCCTAGAGACCCTTGGTGAGGTCAGAGGAGCTCACAGCAAACATCCAATTTGTGGATGGGATCTGGCAGGCTGACTCATGTCAGGGGACACAGTGTTTGTTCTGCAGTGGACCCACAACGCACAAAGGGCATAGGACATGACAGGTCTGACTCTCTGTGCCGTCCTGACCACCCATGTCCCACTGATCCTTGTTGGCCAAATGTTCATGCAAACCAAGAGTCCCCCAAGACAAAAGCTGTGGCTTGGGGCCTTCCAGAAGGGCCAGGGAGGATAGGGAGCTCAGCGCCAGGCATGACAAGCCAGACCACTGTGGGAGGGGGAGCCTCAACTCCCAGCGCTGCACTTTTCAGTGTTTTTTGGTTGTGGAACCCCAACCACCTGACTCCAGCATCCCCTGAAATGCACGACAGTCATGTGCCAAAAGATGTTTCAGTCAATGATGGACCACATGTAGGACAGTGGTCCCATAAGATTATAATAGAGTTAGAAACAAAAGAAATAAGTGTTTTAAAAAAAAAAAAGATTAAACCACATCTCTACAAAAAAATACAAAAATCTTAGCCAAGAGTGGTGGCTCATGCCTGTAATCCAAGCACTTTGGGAGGCCAAGGCAGGCAGATCCCTTGGGCTCAGGAGTTTGAGACCAGCCTGGCCAACATGGCGAAACCCAGTCTCTAACAAAAAATACAAAAAAATTAGCTGGGTGTGGTGGCACGTGCCTAGAGTCACAGCTACTTGGGAGGCTGAGCCCAGGAGGTCAAGGCTGCAGTGAGCCGAGATCACTCTACTGCATTCCAGCCTGGGTGACAGAGCAAGAACTTGTCTCTAAAAAAATAAATTAAAAGATTACGATAGAGGTGAAAAATTCCTGTCACCTAATGACGTCTTGCTGATTCTGACCCTCTGTAGCCCTAGGCTAATATATTAATGTATTTGTGTCTTAGTTTTTAACAAAAAAAGTTTTAAAAGTACAAAAATAATTTAAAATTTTTTAAATAGAAAAAGCCTATAAAATAAGGATATAAAGAAAGAAAATATTCAGCTGTACAATGTATTTGTGTGCATTCTTTTTTTTTTTGAGACAGGGTCTTGTCGTCACCCAGGCTGGAATACAGTGGCACAATCTCGGCTCACTGCAACCTCTGCCTCCTGGGCTCAAGCGATCCTCCCACCTCAGCCTCCCAAGTAGCCGGGACTACAGGCATGTGCCACCACGCCCAGCTAATTTTTTTGTACAGACAGGGTTTTGCCATGTCGCCCAGGCTAGTCTCAAACTTCTGAGCTCAAGGGATCTACCTGCCTTGGGTTTCCAAAGTGCTCGGATTACAGGCATGAGCCACCACACCTGGCCCAATGTGTTTGTGTTTTAAGCTAAGTGCTATTACAAAACAGTCAAAAAGTTAAAAAAATATATATAAAGTTTATAAAGTAAAAAAGTTACAGTAAGCTATAGTTTACTATTGAAGAAGGAAAAATATTTTCTATAAGTTGAATACAGCCTAAGTGTACCGTGTTTACAAAGCTTACAGCAGTGTACAGTCATGTCCTATGCCCTCACATTCTCTCCTCACTCACTCACTGACTCACCCAGAACAACTTCAGGTCCTGCAAGCTCCATTCATGTAAGTGCCCTGTACAGCTGGACCATTTTTTATCTTTTATTCTGTACTTTTGCTGCACCTTTTGTTTTCTATGTATAGACACACAAATACTTACCATTGTGTTACAACTGCCTACCGTAGCCAGTACAGTACTATGCTGCACAGGTTTGCAGCCTAGGAACAACAGGCCATATCATGTAACCTAGGTATGGGGTAGATACCATCTAAGTTTGTGTAAGCACACTCATGTTTACACAATGACTAAATTACCAAATGACAACGCATTTCTCAGAATGTGTCCCTGTCATTAAGCAACACAGATTGTGTTTAAAAGCCACCAGTACCATGACAACCAGGATTTCTGTGCTCCAGGCCACACCTTTGTGGTCAAAATATTCTTTGGAGGTGAGGCCAGGGGTCAGCATCTCCCCTCCCCAAAGGGGTCTCCTCTACAGCTTCAGAAGCCTTCCCACACCTTTCCGCCAAGAGACCCTCAGCTTCACTGCTGCCCCCAGCAGTTTTGCGGGTCAGGTGGGTGATGGTGCTGAGTCATCTGACTGACTATAACCTACCTGACTCTCCAACAAGTGGGGCTTCCTTTGAATGTGCCTGCTACTCAACCTCTAACCAAGCCCAGGGGGAGGTTATGTTCCAAGCATTGATTTCACCGTCGCAACAACCTCACAGGTGTGTACTGATAACATCGTCCCCATTTCACAGGTGAGAAACTGAGGCCCAGCAAGGTTAGGTCGTTGACTCAAGTGCCCAGGCAGTCTGGATTGGAAGCACATGTGCTTCACCCTCATGCCTTGCTGCCTCCCAAATAACAACCATCAGTAACATGCACTTCAAGCCTGGCAGGTTTTGTTTTTTGTTGTCGTTCTGTTTTTTTTTTTTGAGACAGAGTTTCACTCTTGTTGCCCAGGCTGGAGTGCAGTGGTGCAATCTCGGCTCACTGCAACCTCCACCTCCTGGGTTCAAGCGATTCTCCTGCCTCAGCCTCCAGAGTAGTTGGGATTACAGGCATGTGCCACCATGCCCGGCTGATTTTTTGTATTTAGTAGAGATGGAGTTTCACCATGTTGGCCAGGCTGGTCTCAAACTCCTGACCTCAGGTGATCCGCCCACCTCAGCCTTCCAAAGTGCTGGGATTACAGTGAGGCACCACACCCGGCCATGCCTGGCAGTTTTTGAAATGCTTTTCATATATTATCCCGTTCAATCCTCATAAGGTAGATATCACTGTTATCCTCATTTTGCACATCGGGAAACACAAGCTTACCAAGGTTACATAGTGTGTCCAGGTCACAGAGGTATGGAATATGGACCTCTAAATGATCCTAGAAACCAAGGTATTAACCTCAAAGCTTGCACATTTTTGGATCTTAGGACCGCTATATTTATCTGACACTCTAAAGAGCTTTTGTTCATAGACGTTATGTCTAATAAAATTTACAAGATTAGAAATCAAAACCAAGAAAAATTTTTAAATATTTACTTATTTTTTAAAAAGTCAAAACTCCATTGTATATTCACATAAGATTTTTCATGGGACATTAACCACCCTTTCCATTACAAAACAAAACAATGCGGCAGGAAGAGTGTCATTGCTTTGCATTTTGTTACACAGGCTGTTTAACATCCAGCTTCACAGAGACAGCTGAAGTCTCATCTCTGTGTAATGTCACACACCCAGGATGGAACCTTTAGAAAACTGCACTCTACACCCATGTGAGGATGAGAACATAAAAGACCAGTGGCATCCTAGGATCATTATGAAAACAGTCTCACCTCACCAGCCCTCTGAAAGGACCTCAGGGACATTAGGCCACACTTTCAGAATGGCTATTATATGCTATAATCAAGTTCAAGAAATAGTAGAGAAACATCAAATGTTCAGTTTCACAACAGAAAAGCACCATCAGGCCTAGTAACCTGCCTTTGGGAAGATAAGAAATTTTGAATTTCATCCCCATTTTGTAAATGAGGCAACAGAAAGATGCAGCCCTGACTTTCGAGGAAGCTGGAGAGAAGAGAGGAGGCGGCAGGACAGAAGGAAGGGCTCAGAACCATCCCAACACTTCCCATCTCTGTCTCCAGACGTCTCAGTCTACAGCCATGAGGACCTGGGGGTGGCTGGCCACACAGATAAAGTAGCAATGACATGTGCCAAGCACTGCCCAAGCACTGGGTTCTGTGCTAAAGACACTCCACCTTCAACTCATTAATCTCCGCAGCTCCCTACTGGTGTTGTGCTAGGATCGCTCCTCGAGAATCACGTCCAGAAAGACTACATGGCTAGGAAAATGGGATTCCCATGCAGTCTCAGATCTGACATCAGAGCCAGCACCTCAACCACCCCCACAATACTGCCTCCTAATAGGGAAGGATTCCTGTTCCATTTCTCCTGGCCCAAAGGCTTGAGCATACAGGACATATACAGAAAGTAAGGTCAACCAGACCTGAGATCCATCACACAGCAGGCTCTCTGACCCAGCAGAAAGTGCAGCCCATGCCTCTGGCCTTTTGTAGTTGGGGGCTGAGGAGGGCCAAGGAGGGCCACAGGGGACCTCATGACCAATCTCAAGATGTGCTACGCCCAGAAGTTCCAAAAGAACAGCAAGGGTTGCAGAAAATCCTCTCGATCCCCATTCAACTGAAGTTTTTGTCTTTTTACTTGCATCTAGAGGTTGACAGATATTCTGAAAATGATGCAGCCCTACCATACAAATGGTTGCCAGGATCCCTCAAATGGCCACTAAGACCAAACTCCACAGTGAAGGAGCTCACTACTTCCCAGCAGCACCCATCTTATCTCTCCCCCTAAAATGATGCCCTCTACTGAATTAATCTGTCTCTGGATATTCCCTCCACTGACCCTTGATCTAACCCCTAAAGCCCACAAGGAACAACTGGATTTCTTGTATGCAATAGACCTGTAAGCATTTGAAGACAACCATGAAGTTCCTTTACCACCATATGCCCATCAGAATGGCTAAAATAAAAAGCAATGCCACCAAATGCTGGCAAGGATACAGCTGGATTCTCAAAACTGGAATTCTCAAACACTGCTGATGGGAATACAAAGTCATGCAGCCACTTCAGAAAACAGTTTGACGGTTTCTTATAAAGCTAAACATGCAATTGCCATACCACCCAGCAATCCCATGCTTAGGTATTTTACCCAGGAGAAATGAGAATTTATGTGCATACAAAAACCAGCACACAGCTGTTCAGAGCAGCTAGGGAATGAATAAACAACGGTGTTATGTCCTTATGATGGAGTATTACTCAGCAATGAAAAGGGATGAATGATACAACTGTGGATGCACGCAGGGTGTGGGGGAAGCTGGAGTGCCCTGCGTTAAGCGAAAGAAGCCCAACTCTAAAAGGTACAGACTACACGACCACTGATATGACATTCTGGGAAGGGCAACACTACAGGAACAGAAAAGAGATGAGTGGCCGCCAGGGACTGAGGGTGGGGAAAAGGGCAGACTGCAAAGGTGCAGAGGGAATTTTTAAGATACAGAAGGAAGTGTTCTGTATCTTAAAAGTAGCAATGGTTGCATGACTATTTGTCAAAACTTGAACTGTATACTTTAAAAAAATACACTTTAGTGTATGTAAATTATATCTCAATGAACATAACCTTAACAAAAAAAAATTTTTTTGAGACACGGTCTTGCTCTGTCACCCAGGTTGGAGTGCAGTGGCACAATCATGACTCACTGCAACCTCGACCTCCTGGGCTCAAGCAATCCTCCCACCTCAGCCTCCCAAGCAGCTGGGACTACAGGGGTGTGCTACCATGCCTGGCTAATTATTATTTTTTTTTTTTACTTTTTGTAGCAACAGGGCCCCACTATGTTGCCCAGGCTGGTCCCAAACTCCTGGGCTCAAGCCATCCTCCTACCTTGGCCTCCTGAAGTGCTGGGATTATAGGTGTGAGCAACCACACCTAGCCTCACAACACTTTTTTTTAAGAAAACCAAACTGTGATGCCCTGAATGAAGCCATCATCCTACGAGTGATGTTGACAGGTAAAGAGATGAGGACTAACCTCCTCTGCTGTCACTGTGGTTATTTACAGTAAACTTTTTAAAAACAGGCAAAGCAAAAACTAACATCAAGCTGGGTTGTCAACAAAAGCCTCCAAAGTAGCTGTCAACAAAAGCTTCCAATGCAGTTCTAACCTTGTGCAGTTGTTCTTCTGGACTCAAAAGCAAAGCTGTCAACTCTCCCACGACCTCAGGCTTTCCTTACCCAAGTCTGGCAACCCCTGGAGAAGGAGGCAGATTTTCCTTTTCCTTTTGTGTTCAGGATCAGATTTCAGAGGTAAAGGATTTGGTTTGGACTAAAATGGCCAAAAGAGGAAGACACCAGACCAGGAGCAGGCTCTGGATGGTGGACAAAGAGCAGCCGGTGGCTGTTCTTTTCACCCCCATTTTATAAAGGAGGCAACAGCAAGACGCAGCCTGGCTTAGGAGGAAGCTGGAGAAAGGAGAGAAGGAAACAGGACAGAAGGAAGGGGCTCAGAGCCATGCCAACACAACCCATCACAGTCTCCAGCCATGAAGACCTCGGGGCAGCCAGCCTCCTTTTGATCTGGGTGTAAGAAGGAGGACAGAAGGGAGTGTCCCCATCACAGGAATCCTCAGCTCCTTGTGTCAGTTGCCCTGGCTGCTACTATCACTACCACCGAGGCTCAGCAAATGGACTGGCGGCTAGATGGATTTCTCAGCCACCACCCTTTGTCCTGAGCTCCCTCACTGTCATGCTCCCACTGAGGTGCCTCCTTGGTCTTACAGCTGGGCAGGTCTCATCTTTGCTTCTAGGCCCTGTAGGCCTGTGCTTCCAGGAGCCAGAGAGATGTCCAGGTAAACTTCCTAGCCACTTCCAGGCCCTGGCTACCAGGGAGAGGCAAAGCAGTGGCAGAGCACAGTCATCAGAGCACCAAGTCATCCTCACCTACAACTCAGGACACCCACAGCCGTCCAGGAAAGACCCAGGCCTTGCCTGGGGTGAACGAGTGCTTCTTAAAGCACCTAAGTTTCACTAGAGAACCTGCTAGGCAAAATTTCAGGTCCCACCTGGACCCACTGAATCAGAAACCCTGGCAGTTTAAGTCCCTGCAGCACTCCGTGTTGTAAAAGCCCTCCGGGTGATTCTGATGCCTGGTACAGTTTGAGAACCTCTGTTCCCGACCAAAGTTGCATTTGCTGGCCAGAATGGACTTATTTCTCCCTTGTTTTACTGGCTATCCAGCAGCCACTGCCTTTAAAGGAATCCCCCGTTGATGTCATCAACAATGAAGGCCAAAGGGGGACACCCCCCCTTAGTCAATGAGTATGTGACTCCAGATCAGTGTTTCCCCAGCTTGGAGTGAAAGGAGGTTAGATTCCAATGCTGCAAGTCCAGGCCCCAGATCTCCAGCCAGATCAAAGACTTGCTTTCGAACCCTTGACTCAGGGTCTGCTTTTCAGAACCCAAACCACCATAAGCAGCCATGGCCAACTACTTCCCAGCTGCGTCTGAGTCCAGAGCACCTTTCCTAGAAGGCCCAATTCAAGGGCCACTTCCTCCAGGAAACTTTCTCTGATTCACCTCATCAGAACTAACTGCTTCTTCCCGAGTTACTTCTTTCTTTCTGCTCTCTACACAGAGCAGAATAGCCAGTCGTGCCAGACAGTACCTGTCTCCCTGGCAGTGTGATAACATTGGGGGCCATGCTCACCGCGATCCCTATGAGTACCAAACACCTGCCCCACGAGGAGGAGGCATTCCCATCTCTGATAAATTGGCTTTGCAAACGGTTATCCCTGATCCAAAAGTCTGGGCCAGGAATGAAGGATCAGAGGTCACAGGGCGTCAGTGGGCAGCCCCCACTTCCCTGATGGCTCACCCCACCTCCCTCTGTCAACCAGCAGAAGCACTTTCAAGGAGTCTTCCCTGGGATACGAGAGAAGCCCTCCAGCTCTTTCTCCTGCCAATAAGCCTGGAGACCTCTCCATTTAATAAGAAATCTCCTGCTATTTCAATCTTCATGGAATTTAAGGCTCACTTTACAAGAGATGCCCAAGAATGTCTCTTCTCCTCCTTAAAACCTCCCCAGTTTTCCAAGATGAGAAATAAAAGGCTACTGAGAAATTAGGTCAGGATGAATGGGGAGGAAAAAAGTATTGATTGCCTGAAACTAGTGCGCAGTCCCGGGCAGATCCACAGGGTAGGGTCGGGGGCAGGTCACAACAACAGGCACAGGAGGCGGGGGAGGAGGGCCTCAGGGAAGCTGTGTGTGCTTAGCTGATGAAAACCCATGAAAACTGCCCGAGGAGGCCTTGGCACAAAGACCTGCCGCCCTTAAGGCTGTTGGCAAAGGTGAGTTGTGAGTAGGGCCAGGCTGGAGATCTGAGACCGGACAGACCGCCTGAGAGAATGCTGTCTACACGCCCAACGCTTCAGCCTCCGATTTCCTCTCATGCCGAATACAACCTGCCATTCTTTTCCCAGCCATTTCCATTTAGGGAGATGTAAATGGGAAAGTGGAGGTGATTTTTTTTTAGAAGGATCTTGCTCTTGCCTTTCCTCAGGTTCCTAAGATCACCATGTGACCTTACCAGTGGCCCCTCCTGCCAGGGCAGTGTGTGCTTGTAGACTTCTGCGTCTCATCAGGTGTGGCTGAGCCAGCAGGAACTCCCTGGCAGGTGCTGGAGTGCTCCCAGGGCCAGCCCCACCAGGCATTCCGCCCCGAGGGACTGGTGCAAGCCTGGTACAGACATTCCGGTTCTCTTCCCAGAGATGAGGTTGGGCCAGCCCATCTCAAACTGGAGGGCTAGTAAGCTGTAGAAACCCTCAGAGTTTCTGATGCAGCAGGGATGGGAGGAAGCTCAAACCTGCATCTCTAATGAGTGTCCCCGTGGTCCAGGGACCAGGCTTTGTGAGCCACTGGTTTCGGCACGAACAAGCAGCCAACTGTGGTCACTGAGAGGAGGCCATGCTGAGGGACTCTGGAACAGGTTCCTTTGCTCATAAAAACCCCACCTTCTTCTGCCACTCACCGCAGATGGCTACAGAGCACTTGGAATGTGGTGGATTTGCCTGAGAAACTAGACATTTAAATTTCATTTTAATTCATTTAAATTTAAGTAGCCACTTGTGGTTAGTGGCGCCCATACTGGACACTGCAGACCCGGACACTGTCAGGTCTGGATGTGATGGCTGGAGCTGCTGCTACAGACACCCCACCATGAGACTGTGGGAAGACAACGCACAGAGGAGGACAGAGTTGCATCCCCCTGTACTGGCTGTCCTCAGCACAGCCTCATATGGGAGCTCATACATTTCCTGATTGGTTAAGCTGGTATGAGTGGGTGTTCCCTGATGCCTGCACCCAAAGGACAATGGCAACCTCAAGAAGAAAAGCAAGAGAAGCAAAAATCGGTTCCCTGTGAACTCAAGAGGCTCTGCCCAGAAGGGATGCAACCACTTATTTCAGCATTAAATATCCAGACACAGACAGTACAGACCCAGCCTGCTCCAAGAAACACATCAGAGCCCTGCCCTCTGCCTGCCTGTGATGCCCAGGAAGAGCATGGGGATACTGTTGACGGCTCCATCGCAAGGACTGAGCCAGCTTCAGGTGAGTGCACAACCAACTGGTGGGTCACGGCCATGACGCTTCTTCCAGAGTACGCTGGGGTCCAGCTGCCCAAGAAATATCTTCCTACTCAGGCTAGGAATTCCGCCATCAGCAGTAATTGCTATGGGTTAGGCAATACCCATCTCTAGAATTCCCTTTTAGAATGCACATGTGCCTAGGAAAGGTAACGATTTAACCCTTGAAATGCCGATGGGAATGAGTTTGCTGATTGCGATCTGTCAGACAGATACTGGTGAAGGGTGAAAAACTAGACAGGTCAGAGGTGTATGCTCAGGGCTCACCCAGTCCACCTTAAAAAGCCTCACCTTCCCCATCTACTGATCCTGACTGTCCCACTCCATGCACTTCCTGAAGGGTGAGTCCTACCTTCCAAATTCCAACAATCCCATCATTCCATTGATGTGTCTCCAGGCACCAAAAGCAGGCAGAACAAAGTAATAGGATACCGTTAGGAGCTTTGAATTGCAGTCCCAGAAGGGCCCGCCCTGAGTCCTAAACAGGATGAGGGTTATAGGGGGAACTGTGTTTTTATGGGTGGAATTGTGGCCCCCTAAAAGATGCTAAAGTCCCAATCCAGTAAATGTGAATGTGAACCTTATTTGGAAAGGTCAAAGCATTACCTTTCCGAGGTACATCTGCATTCTAAAAGGGGAGTCCCGAGAGGCGCGCTGCTCAGCCCACGGCAGTTATGGCTGATGGTGAAACAATCTTTACAGATTATCAATTTAAGATGAGGTCTTGCTGCCGGTAAGGCAGGCTCCTAGGCCAATGTGACCAGTATCCTTATTAAAAGGGGAAATTTGGAGACAGACACACACGGAGGGAGAGTATCATGTGAACACAAAGGCAGAGATCAGTGTAATGTTGGCAAACCAAGGAGCACCAAGGATTACCAGCAAGCCACCAGAAGCGAGGAGAGAGGCCCAGGACAGATCCCTCCCTAGCACCTTCAGCCCCCGTGGCCTCGCTAACACTTTGATCTTGGGCTTCTGAACTCCAAAACTGTGAGACAATCAATTTCTACTGTGTAAGCCACCTGGTCTGTGGCACTTTATTATAGCAGTCCTAGAAAACTAAGATGGAACTCCCCCGCTGGTCACTGTCTTCCCTCTCTTCACACTGCCTGCCCTTATTTAACTGTTTCCCACCAAAAGACCCTAACATCCAGGAGTGTGGGGCCCACATCTGCCTAATTCACCACTACAGCCCAAGCCCACCTCTGGCACACTGGAGGTGTTCAGGATGTGAACTGACATATGAAAGAGCCGTCCTGACTAGTCCTAGAATCTCAGGCATGTGACTTCCCCTCCCAGAATGTCAGTTTCCCCATCTCTCTGCAGAGGGAAAAGAAAATAGTCGGAGTAGATGACTTCTGTGAGTCCTTCAGGCTCAAATACGCTGGAACTCACCACTGAAGGTGTCTGCATCCATCACGGTCAGATCAGGCAATGAGAAACCCCACTAGAGGTGCTAAAACAGAGGGAATGGGCCACAGAGGTGTGGGAAGGCTGAGACTACTGCGGCCTTCCTGCTGGACTTCAGTGAACTCAGAGAAGGGCTGGCCTCATTTTATGGGTTTTCTGAAACCCATGTTCAGAGAAACATATCCAATTCAGCGTGGACTGGCAATGCCTATCCCCAAGGAAACTCCAAAAGGGGTGAGTCTCCTGGGCAGTGGCCACTGAGTTACTACGAGGCCTGTAGAGTGGAGGTGGGGATAGTGGGACAACAGGCTCCCCTAGAAGCTCTGTGCCCGGACAAAGTGAACAATGGCAAAACATGTGCCTCCCAGCACTCACCTCCCCACCTCCCTTCTAACATCAGAAATGGGTTTTTGCT